AAGAAAACCCATGTTGTCCTAGAGTAATCATCTATAAAAGACACAAACCACTTATACCCAGAAATACTTTTGACAGGAGAAGGGCCCCACATGTCACTATGGATGATGGAAAAAGGTGGTGTTGGTTCAAATTTGGCTGGAATATATGGTTTTCTGGTGTGTTTGGCCATTTGACAAATTTCACAGGAAAACAAAGACGGATCTTTATTAATGAATAAGTTCGGTAACATTTTGGAAAGATAGAAAAAATTAGGATGACCTAATCTAGAGTGCCATAACATAATTTTATTGGTATTGAGATCAGAAGATAAAATTGGTTTCCTAAGAGCACTAGATAAGGCATGATTATGAGATGCTTTACCTCCAAGGGTGTACAATCCTTTGCCCAGCCTAGCACTGCCAATCACCCTCTTCGAGCCCTGTGTCTGAAAAATGCAACCACCAGTACCAAACACAACATTACAACCAAAATTTTTAATTAATTTGCTGACTGACAACAGATTGCATGCAAGTCTAGGAACATAGAGGACATTATGAAGTAGTAGATTTTTGTTTAATGTAACAGAACCACTCCCTTTGACTGTAGTGAGAGAACCATATGCTATTTTGATAGAAGCTGGTAAGCTGCTTTCACTATATTCCTCCAAGATATTAATATTTCCTGTCATATGATCTGATGCACCCGAGTCTATTATCCATTGTATCGAGGAAGCATATGGATTATTTCCATCAGTAGTAGTATAAGTCACATTTGTAGGCTTGGCTGTCATACTGCTCAAAATCTGCTGCAGTTTCTCTATCTGTTTCTTGCTAAAACTGCTTGAGGAATCATCTTGAGAGGCAATATGAGGCTCCTTTTGAAACCTGGACCGTGTGTGCTGCCAATCGGCTGGTTTTCCGTGCAGCTTCCAACATTGATCTATCGTATGGCCTAGCTTCTTACAATGTTCGCACCAAAGGCGATTTTTCCTCTGTTGCTTTGAAAATTTGAAAACTGAAATCTGAAAATCAGATTGAGAGGGGCTGGTCTGGGAAGTGATTTCGGATGCTGAGGGATCCGGATTAGCCATGAAAAAAAATAGAGTTGAATAGGAATTGATTTAAAGAGAAGCGGAAATCGGATTGATCGCTCTAACCTGATACCATGTAGAAAACAGACTGTAGAAAACAGACAAGTCTGTTATTTTTATTCTTGTGTACATTCAGTAGAACATATTACATATTTATATACAAATTATGCCTCTAAACTAGGAAACTCTAAGAAAGGAAACTAATCCTAGGAGATGTAATCCCTTGAAATAAGGGATTGAAAAAACAGAAAATAATTACATAATCTCTTAACTTAAGGGATTGACAACTCATTTCTATAATTCCTACTACAGTCACTCGTATTTATCATTTATACACCCTGTCCTAGCAACAAAAAAATAATAGTTGCAGATGATACTATGATAACAATTGCTGGCTAAGGAGATATTGTTATAACAAGACCCTTATACTAAAAAATGTCCTTCACGTACCAAAACTGTTTACTAATCTTCTATCTATCCAGAAAATTACCAAGGACACTAACTGCAATGTTCTTTTTTATTCCTCTCAATGCATTTTTCAAGAACAAGGAACGAAGATGATGATTGGATGTGCCTAGGAAGTAAATGGCCTATATTACCTTGAAGACCCCGGTGGATAAGTCAATGCCCTGAACTCCCCACCTTTTTCGCTTTTATCAGAATCCAAAAACAATAAGGACCAGATATGGCTTCATCATCTCCGCCTTGGTCACACATCCTTTAAAGTTATAAAACTTATGTTTCTCTCTTTGTTCAAATCCTTAAATATTGAAGAATTCCATTGTGACATATGTGAACTTGCAAAACATAAAATAACTTCTTTTCCATCAAGTAATAAAAAAGCCTTAAATCCTTTTACCCTTATTCACAGTGATGTTTGGGGACCATCCACCATTCCAAATATAATTGAGGTCCGATGGTTTGTCACATTCATAATTGATTGTACTCGAGTGTCATGGATATTTCTTCTAAAACATAAATCGGATGTAACCTCTACCTTTAAAACCTTTTATACCATGATTAAGACTCAGTTTGGGGTTGACATAAAAAGGTTTCAATCAAACAGTGCTAAAGACTATTTCAACCAAGTCCTATCACATTATTTCCAAGAGAAAGACATCATACACGAGTCTTCTTGTGTGAATTCCCCTTAACAAAATGGCATGGCAGAAAGAAAGAATGACCATATTCTTGCCATAACAAGAGCCCTTTTATTTAAAAAAAAATGTCCTTAAACAGTATTGGGGGGAAGCTGTGTTAACCGCCACCTATATGATCAATAGACTACCCACTAAAGTCCTTGAATCTCAAAATCCTAACCAATTTCTTCCCAAATTTCAGCCCCTCGCTTAACCTTAAACCTAAAATATTTGGTTGTGTTGCCTTTGTCCATATACACTCCCAAAATAGGGGCAAACTTGATCCAAGAGCATTAAAATGTATCCTTGTTAGCTATTCTTCCACTCAAAAGGGATATAAGTGCTATCATCCACCTACAAGGAAACACTTTGTTTTGACTGATGTTACTTTTGTATAAAAGAAAAACTATTTTACTTGCCTTTTCATTAAGGGAAGATAATGACGGATTATTTCCTATTTCAGCCTCTCATTGACTTTCCTACACCAACCCAACAACCTAATTTTGTCTATCAACATATCCAACCTGACCAACAACCTATTTTTGACCAACCTACCACCTTACAATCTTATCCTAACAACCCTCATCAAAAACCTCAGGACACTACTCGTCCTCTGTTGGTCTACTCGAGGAAGAAGGCAACATTGCAGGTCTAATCATCTCCTTCCTCTCCTATACGAAACGACATAACTATCGAATCTATCTCTGATCTAAATGCCACTAAAAAATCTGATTATGTTTTTGATCATAGGGATTTTGATTTTCTTATTGCAATTAGAAAAGGAAAAAGAACTTGCACCACAAAAACCCTCATTACCTATTTATATCCTACAAGAATCTATAAAGTAATCACAAGACCTTCATTACTAGCCTGAATACCATTGCCATTCCTAAAAATGTGTCCAAGGCATTAGAAAATGAGAATTGGAAGAATGCCATGCAAGCTGAGATAGAAGCACTTGAGAAAAACAAAACATGGGACTTGGTGAATCTGCCAGAAGGGAAGAAAACAGTGGGGTGTAAATGGGTGTTTACAATAAAATACAAATCAGACGGTTTTTTAGAGAGGTACAAAGCAAGGTTAATGGTTAAATGATACTCTCAAACTTATGGGATAAACTACCTTGAGACATTTGCTCCTGTTGCAAAGATGAACACTATGAGTATTTTATTGTCATTAGCTGCCAGTTAAGGATGAAAATTACATCAATATGACGTTAAGAATGCATTTTTGCATAGGGATCTTAAGGAGGAAGTCTACATGACATCCCACCTGGATTTGGTCTAAGTAGTGGGTAAGCAATGTGCAGATTAAAGAAGGCCCTGTACGGGCTGAAGCAGTCCCCGAGGGCATGGTTTGGGAGATTTACCATAGTGATGTTTAGACTGGGCTACAAACAAAGTCAAGGGGATCATACTTTATTTGAAAGGGAAGGCTAAAATACTTCCTTGGGATTGAAGTGGCACATTCACGACAAGGAATCTTCATATCCCAACAGAAATACACCCTAGATTTGTTGACAGAAACTGGCAAGCTAGGATGCAGGCCAGCAGAAACGCCAATAGAAGTTAATCACAAACTCGGAGATTCGATAGAGGATGCATCAGTTGACGGAAGCTCATATTAGAGAGTTGTGGGAAGAGTGATTTACTTATCACACACCAGACCTGACATTGCTTATGCAGTTGGAGTTGTGAGCCAATTTATGCACAATCCTAAAGAATCACACGTAAGGGCAGTAACTCAAATCCTACAGTATTTGTGCCTATACTGATGCTGATTATGTAGGGCCATGGTTGATAGAAATCAACTTCAGGATATTGCACCTTTCTTGGAGGAAATTTAGTGACATGGAGAAGCAAAACATCATATGGTGGCTAGATCCAATGCATAAGCTGAGTTTGGACCAATGACACTTGGGATTTGTGAATTATTGTGGCTTAAGATTATTCTGGAGGATTTAAAGATTAAATGGGAAGGACCAATGAAGTTGTATTGTGATAATAACTCAACAATCAATATTGCTCATAATCCAGTTCAACATGACAGGACAAAAACATGTTGAAGTCGATAGACATTTTATAAAGGTAAAACTTGATAGTGGACTAATTTGTACTCCTTATGTGTCCACTAGAGATCAAGTTGCAGATATACTTACCAAGGGACTACATGGAAAGTATTTTCAGGAGTTAGCAAGTAAGTTGAAGACGGAGGACATCCATTCCCAACTTGGAGGGGAGTGTCAGAAAACAAAATCCTAAATTAGAAATATTATGTAAGATTATGTGAATATTATTTTAGTAGTTATAATCCCTAACTTTAAGGGATTGTATCTTTCCCTAGAATTAGTTACTTTACTAGTTTAAGAGTTTTCTAAGTTAAGATTAAAGCCTGTGTATAAATATGTAACAAATCCTACAGGATAAAGATAAGTTTTTATAGTGAATTACTCGACTTTTAACTGAGGGAGAATGACCAAAGAAGCTTATGTGGAAGGTATAAAGATGAACATTTCTTTTATGTAGCTAATGGAGGATATGATCTTGAAGTACATTATAATGTCGCTATATGATCTGTGTAGCAGATCCCATAAAATATACTAATAGTAGTAAATGACTGAGCTTCTTGTTGTTTTAATATCCCGTTGTTTTTTTTTACTCAAAATTTTTTCTTCCCATCCCACTGACTTTTCATTAAAGTTCATTGATGTCTAAGTTTTTTATGGTGTTCTATTTACCAGCACTTGATGATTTAGCTATCTGTGTTAACTACTGACCTCGTACATTTTCAGGTGTTTCTTGCAACTGATGATGATTCAGCTCCTGTAATTTCTTTTCTTTTCTTGGAACAAAAAAAGTTACTTTCTTTAAGGCTTCAGTCTGTTGAAATAAACAACGAGATTCTGTATGATGTTAAACCTGATATGAGCTGGAGCATACCTGCAATTGCTGCTGCTCCTGTCATTGTGACGCAACCAAGGTATTGCTACATGCATCTTCTTTTTTGATTCTAAGTGGCTGATTTTCTTAAATTCTTTGTGATGATTTTCTTTGATTTTCTCCCCCAGTGTGAAGGTGGGATTGCTTCCATATACAGACATCATTGTTTTGGCTCCAGAAAACATATTATTGCTTTATGTAAGTTTTTCCCTTTAAATAATCATTTTTATATCCAGTTTTAATTCCTTTTATACATTTCTACCTTTTTTGGGGGTCTCTTGCACCCAACCTATTGTTTATATTTTAGGATTCTGTTGTCATCTTTGTACAGTTTCTGCTGTAATTCTAACTTGCAGTTAGTTGTTACTTTGCTAGTAACCCATCTTCAGTTTTTTCTTGGAGGATTGAGATCTATTCTTCCACCCCCAATGATATAGACTTTCCAATTTTTTTTTCCAGATTGTCTTTTCCATTTGGAAGTTCATCTTACTTTCTTGTCTTGACCTTTCTAGCATATTGATCCATATAGCATGCTGTTAAAATATGTTCCTCAAAGCAACCACTGGTTTTTGTGTGCCATGTGGGATTATGCAGTGGCACTTGGTTTTTAAGCCTTTTAACGTGTGTTATTGAAACTAGTTGATATGAAATTTGACTCCTATGGTCATCTCTAGGGATAAAGGGTGGTGAGAGATATAGTGTAGGTAAGCATGTCAATGGCCTGACTTGGTTCCAAACTTGAATATGGCCATTTAGATTTGAAGAAGTATAGCTTTTGATGAAAAAGAGACAATGGTCGGGTCATGTCCTCCTATAATGGCTGAGTTATTGGTAGGGGTGTAAATGAACAGAGCGTTCGGTGAACTATTCGTATAACGTTCGTTTATGTTCGTTTGTTAAGCTAAATAAATGAACATGAATAAAATATTTATGTTCATTTAATAAACGAACGAACATGAATAAAGGTGTGTCCGGTTCGTTTATGTTCACGAACAAACTCGTTTATTAGCTCGTTTATAAGCTTGTTTATAAGTTTGTTTATGAGCTCGTTTATCAGCTCATTCATTTATGGTCATGAACAAACTCGCTTACCTGATTCTCTTTTTCCTTTTATCTTTTTACATTTTAAATATTGGTGAAGATAAGGATTAAATAAAACACATGATAAAAGTTGCATTTTAAACTATGAATTTTAAGAAGTTTAAGCACCAATGATGTAACTTTATCATTTTTCTTTAGCTTGCAAATGAAATTAAAAATCGAATATATAAACGAATTATAAACAAACACTAAAACAACGCTAAACAAAAACTAAATGAACACTAAATTAATGCTAAACGAACACGTTCGTGAACATTATTTGAACGCTAAACGAACATGTTCATGAACACATTCTTAAACATATAAACAAACACGTATAAATAAACGAACACAAATACCTTTAAAAATAAATAAACGAATACAAACATAATCTTGTTCGTTCAAGCTCGGTTCATTTACACCCTTTGTTATATGCAATTAGAGCGGGCCTAGGTTCTTTGAGGAGTCTGGTTAGGGTTCTAGGTGGCGCCTTGTTTTGCAAAGTGACTGTGCCAATGCCTTGAATTAAATTAAAAATCCATGTTCCTATTCTGCTCTATTTGAGTCGTTGGTGAAGGAAATTGTTGCTATAGTCCTAGATAGGAATGTTATTGTTAGGCATATTCAGAGATGTGTGAATTGGGAGGCAGATGAGTTAGCGAAATTAGGGATTGGCTAATGTCTTTTTGTGTTTCTGGTTTTTTCTTAGGAGGTTATTTCTTTGGGTTAGTTGCTTTTGTACTTGTTTGGTTCATCGTAATTTGGGGACTATTCTTTTTTGGCAGTAAATTTTTGAGGTACTATTTTCCTCCTTTTAATGTCCGATGAGATACTTTGCAGTATTTTGTCGGTTATGAAGGGTTTTTTTAATGAGACATCTTTTTTTATAAAAAAAAAGAGACAATGGAACTCTTAGACAAATAAGTTTTTTAATGCCTAACTAATTATTTAATATGATGTGTATAGCTAGTCTTACTTTAAGATCCCCTTTTTACCAAGTCTTATACAAATTTTGTAAAGTCGGTAATGCCTATATATACATATGTCATTGATGCTGACGTCTAAGGAAAGGGTTAAAAGGTTTAATGTTGAAAGTGGACTTTAGGAGAGCTTATGACTCCGTTGAATGGCCTATAATAATTCGAATCATGAAAGAAATGGGTTTTGGGGAACGTTGGATTTCTTGGATTGATAAGTGCATTTCTACTGCCTCCATCTCTGTTCTAGTTGATGGTGCAACTACAGAAGAGTTCTCAATAACCAGGGGCCTTCATCAAGGATGCTTTCTCTCGCCTCTGTTATTCAATCTAGTAGAAGTTTTGAATTTGTTACTGACAAAAGCATCAGAGGTTGGGCTTTTCAAGGGTTTCCTAGTAGGCAACTCTGGTAATTCCTTCGTTTTATGACATCTTCAATTCGCCGACAATCTAATCATCTTTTGCAACGCCTCGAGGGGAGAAATCATTAATGTCATAAGGGTATTGAGAGTGTTTGAGATGATGACGGGTCTCAAGTTGAACTGTTCTAAAAGCAGACTGTTTGGGATCAATTTGGATGAAACATCCCTTAGCGATTGGGCCTTGGCAGCTAATGTTTCAGTAAGTCACTTTCCTTCTGAATATTTAGGCTTGACCCTTGGCTCTAAACGAAACTCGATGGCTCTTTGGGATCTCGTAATTCAAAAGTTTTATGATAAGCTTGCGGGATGGAAAGCGACATCGATGTCTTTGGCTGGTAGGTTGGTGCTCTTAAAGTCAGTTCTGTCAGATTTGCGGGTATATTTTCTGTCTATCTTTAAGATGTCGGTTGCTGTTTGCAAGAAATTGAATGTGATGATGGCCATTTTTTTGTGTGGAAGCAGTGAAAAGAGTCGGATTTATTGGGTCAAGTGGTCTACAGTTTGTTTACCTAAGAATTGTGGTGGTTTGGGGGTGCCTAATCTTAATATTCTAAAACAAGCTTTATTAGGGAATTGGTCTTGGAAGTTTGGAGTTGAGTCGGATTCGCTTTGGAAAAGTTTGATATGCAGTAGCTACAACGTGGATCCTCACTCTGTGAATCTTAACAACCTTCATTTCAAGCGCCCAACATGGTTATGGAGAGGAATTATTAGGAATTGTATGAACGAGGACAGGTTCAGGGTGTGTTTCAGAAACCAAATCAAAGCGAGAGTGGGCGATGGGAATTCGCTGACATTTTGGCATGATATATGGGTTGGTGATACCCCATTGATGTCCCAATTCCCAATAATTTTTTCTTTATCTTCAAATAAGGGTGGGAAAATTGCTTAATTTGGGAGCTTTGGTCCTCCAGGATGGGACATTCAAGTGAGAAGGAGTTTAGACAATTGGGAGTTAGATCAATGGTTAATTTTAATGTCTCTTTCATCTAGTATTAACCCTCGATCAGGAGCTAAAGACAGGCTTGTGCGGTTCGGGAATGGAGAGGGCCTGTACACTGTCAAATCGTGCAAGGGTCTGATTTTGGTGAGACTCAAATATGGCCTAATTGCGTTTGGAGAGGAATAGCTCCACCAAGGGTGTTGACATTCATGTGGAAGGTTATTCATAAGAGGGTGGCGGTTAGAGAAGAATTGATTAAAAGAGGAGTCACAATCGTGGCTGACCTGCTGTGTCCTCTGTGTAATGTATCTCCTCAATCTGTATCACACTTATTCTTTACATGCAGAATCGCCTGGGGTTTATGGAATCACTTCATTCAATTTTGGGATATAGTTAATGCTCTTCCTTCGGATCTATCATCTCTATTATTAGCTTGGGACGGCCTAGTTCCTAAATCCTCCATTTGGTCTCTATTATTAATGCTCTTCCTTCGGATCTATCATCTCTATTATTTAGCTTGGGACGGTCTCTAATGTTATAGGAACCTATAGGGTCACACCTCAAGGTTTAAATGAGCAGATGTTAAACGAATTGTAATTGTATAATTAATGTACGTGAGTGAAGTATATGTGATTAAAGTTAATATATGTATTTGATATATATTTAATTTTAATTAACCCAAATATAATAAATATTAGAAGAATTTAATTATGAATATTATCGTTTGATCAATCTGGAAATATAGGAATTCAATTGTATTTGATAACAGGAATGCAGACCTTCAACACTCATCTTTACTGCACGGTTCCGTCTGGCCTACTGGTTTTCATCCAAACTCCCTGATCTTAATATCCCTCTAGACAACTTAATTGGGGATCCTTCTTCAGCAGATTCATGCTCCCTCTTGAGGCAGCTTGTCATGCCTTCTTCTGCTGCTTGGGCTCCTCCTCCAGGATTTTTGAAAGTAAATGTAGATGGAGTTGTTTCTTGGGATTGGATCAAAGGAGGTATCAGTGGTTTGGTTATGGATTCTTGTGGTCAAACTCTTGCCTCTTTTTCGAATTCTTTTGGCCCTGGTCCCCCAGTTTTGACTGAATTAAAGGCTATCAGAGCTGGTATCTTGCCATGTGAATCATCTAATTGGTGTGGTAAGGGTTGGATGATTGTGTAATGTGACTATAGAAATGTTGTGGATTAGTTAAAGGATTATGTGGTGTGCCCTTCATCCTATGAGGATTTAGTCAAGGGGATTGTATCATTAGTAAAGAGAGATGAAATCATGTTAAGGGTGATAAATAGAAGTGCTAATTGGGAAGCTAATGAACTAGCTAAATAAAGGATAGGGTAATTCTAGGTTTGATGAGGGACCTTTAGTCTGGTTGGGTTATGTATGTTAAAGGCTTATTCAACATATTGTAACTGAGAAACCTATGACTTTTATATCAATAAAACTTGAGGTACCCTTTTCCCCCTTCCGCTTTTTGCTGAATTCCCTATTGGTCTTTGACAATTATGAACAGGGTTTTTAACGAGACCTCCAATTCTTATAAAAAAAAACTTTAATCCTTTGATTATGTTCTCTCTATTCCTAACAGAATGTCAATAAACGGTTGATTGACTGTTCACTTTTCGTTTGATAATCTACATCTGATGTAAATGCAGTCAGGGAAGCAATGCCTTTGCAGGTTTCTGCTTCCTTCATCTTTGGGCAAAGAAAGTATCTCTTGCAATTTGGGATTCTCAAAAGCATCATCCATTTCCCATGACCTGAAAATTGTAGGATTGGCTGATGCTGTTGAGGCGCGTATTAATGTGAAAGTAAATAATCGAAAGGTATTATGACTCCATTCTCTTAGTTTATTAGTTCAGTTTCTCTACTCTTGTTGTTCAATTGGTCACTTTCCTTTCCTATAATATTGCAATCATAAGTTTTAAGCAATGGAGATTCTAGGTAGCCCTTGAATTAGTTTCCGATAATATTGCGATCTATCGAAGTTTCTTGCTTTTATATCTCGGTTATGAGCTTTAACAACTTTTATTTTCCATGTGTGTACAGATTTTTCGATGCGCACTACGTAGAAACCCGTCATCATCATTGGCAAATGATTGTATAACAGCAATGGCTGAAGGGCTCAGTCCAAGTTTTTATAGCCATTTTCTTATTCTTCTTTGGGGTGATAATGAATCTGGCTATTTGTCAGAGTCTAATTCTACTGTTGATTCTGAATGGAATTCTTTTTGTGATACTATCATGCAAATGTGCAAGAAGTCATCTGTAGTGTCTCAAGAGATTCCAAAATCATCTTGGGAGTTTCTTCTTGATAGCAAATTTCATAGGAACTACTGCAAAATAAATTCTATGATTGGATTGTCTTCTGACGTCGCACTTGACAGGATAGGATTGGATTCAATGAGATCAAGTATGGATGGAACAAAAAGTTCAGAAAAATCGTTTTACTCTGATTTATTGGGGGAGAGTTTGAACTCTCTACATGCAGTTTATGAAAGTTTGAAAATGGATAATCTTCGGAGAAGGTAAATCAAAATCATATCCATGTTCTTCTCTGCACATGCTTTAGGTTCTAAAGACTTTTTGCTATTAATCTTTCCGTCTGTTGTTTATTCTTTATTCTTGCCTTTTCTTTTGTCTTGCTGGTATCTTTTCCAATGTAGTTTTTTCAGTTCTGTTTCATGAGAAAAGGTCAAAATACTACATGGTATCTATGCCCTGAATGATGTACTAATAGCCAGATGATATTCGACAAGAGTTCATATCAGAGGGATCACAATTTATCCTGTAAAGCATTTGTAACTTTTTCATATTTTGAATTGTTAGATTCCTGTCATGATATGATAGTGAGGATTAGGCAATGCTAGTTTTTTAAGTTATTAGGACTGACTGAATAAGTTTGGGAGTTTTCAAGTTGGCGGTAATGCAATTGCTATTCATATCTACTGCCTATGGTTGTTTCTTTTAGATTTACTTCAGCAGTTTGCTAAAATGCAGTTCTCATTCTATGGTTTTTGGTGTGAATTTCCTTAAAAAGGGATTTGGAGCTTTTGGCAATTCTGTTGTGTGATGTTGCAAAATTCTTGGGTGAAGAATGCTATTTGGATCATTACGTTCGTGATTTTCCCGCCCTTTGCAAGACATTCAGGATGGGCACAGATCGATTGTCCAGCAAGGCTCCTTTCAGCTTATTCAGATGGCTAGAAAATTGTTTGCAACGTGGATGTACTCCTGATAATATTAACAATCTTCCCCTCGTAGTTTGTAAAGATGGAAGTTCTGTGGTGAGCTGGGCTCGTAAGATTGTATCTTTTTACAGTTTACTATCTGGTGCCAAAATCATAGGAAAAAAGCTTTCATCTGGTGTTAGCTGTAACATTGCCTCTGGATCATTTTGCTCAAATGAGGAAGTCACAGTGTTGGCAATGGTTGGGGAGAAATTTGGATTAAAAGAGTTAGATTCTTTGCCTTCTGGTGTATCTCTTCCTCTTCGACATGTAAGCTCCAGTACCTCATAATGCATGCAATCTTTTAATCAAATACTTTGACAAAGCTTGAAGATATAGTGATTTTATTACTATGTCTGTAACATTATGACATCGAAGGAATATTAGGTTAGTTATGGCATTGTTAAATATAAATGTTACTGATGATTATGGCTAGATACTGATGGTATTCATTCTGGTCTTTGTATGTTAATATGTTTTACATACTGATGGTATTCATTCTCAGCAATGAAGATGCTTCTCTTATTTTTTTCGTTGTGTTTCTGCTTACCGTTTTGCTCCCTCCATTATGAAAGATTTGTTGTCCCTTTTATGATGTTTCATTCCCCTGTTATATAAAAGAAGACACCTTTTGTTTACCGTTGTGCTCCCCCCATCATGAAAAAATGTTGCCCTTTTATGATGTTTCATTGCCCTGTTACTTAAAAGAAGGCATCTCAATGTCTCCCTTTCGCCATTTACTCACCAAAAGACTTGTTTCTAATGAGAGCTTAAAAAGGGTTAAAACTCTTAAAATCTGTCCCTGTAGAAGCTGTTAGTTATTTTTTTGCATCTTTTTCGATAACTATTCTTCTTCCCTTTTTCATTTTTAGTCATGAATCATGATTGTTTGTGGATTTGCTTCTCAGGCTTTGGATAAGTGTCGGGAATCTCCTCCTGCTGATTGGCCTGCAGCTGCATATGTACTCGTTGGTCGCAAGGACTTGGCTTTGTCTTGTTTGACACGTTCTTGCAAATCTAAGCAACTTGAAACACAAACTAATGTGAATTTGGTCTGTATGTCTACTCCTTACATGATACACTTGTATCCTGTGACAATTCCTTCAACAGTATCTGAAACTGATGGTCTGGAAAGCACGAGGCTTGAGGATACAGATTCCATTGATGGGTCAGCAACAGATGGCATGGAGAACATATTCAGCTCTTGCACCCAGTTGCGATATGGTCGGGATCTAAGATTAAATGAGGTTTGTTGGGGTCCACTTTTAAACAATGATGTCAAAGGCTGTATATTGAATTTAGAAGTATCTAGCTTATGATCTTCGCTTATACATCCTTAGATTCGGAATCAAATTAAGAAATGCTTCCCCTTTCGTCAAACTGAAATAATTTTATACATTCATCTTTAGTCTGTTGTTTATAGTTGTTGCAGGCTTATGGTTCTTTTTTTTAATTGTTGAGGGGAATGGAAATATGATTCTTGAACATCCATTTTTCTTTTCCTACCTGCCACTGTCACTGCTACTAGGTTAGACGCCTTCTATGCTCCGCAAGACCTGTGGCTATTCAAACATCGGTTAATCCTAGTGCCTCGGATCAGGATCTCCAACAGGTACGCTTCTTTTGTTGCTTGGTTAAAAATGTTGTATAGTTCTTTCCCCTCTAGCGCATTGTAGCTTCAGTTTTAATCATTTGCAAATAAACTGGCATGACAATGTATGTTACCACATGTTATCGATATATTCTTATATCAGTATTCTTAAACATGCCAAATGCATTAGCCAACAATACCCACCTTCCTTTGATAACGGGTTTCTTTTGGAGTAGATAGTGATAATGTTTTATAAGGGTTTTTAACGAGATCTCCAATTCTTATATAAAAAAAAATGTTTTATAGGACTTGGAAAATACCCTGAGATTTTATCATGAATAATATTACAGGATACACATAAACAGTATACATGATGAGATTCATCTAGTTTGGTGTTCTCTTCTCCCTGACATGTTACCTGTCATTTTAGATGAGTACTGATATGATGACTATAGTTTGCTCTGAACACATGGCTTAATGCAGATTGCATACTTTGATGTTGCTATGTTGTTTTGTTTGTTCAGGCTCAACTGTGGCAGCTTGCACAGAGGACTACTGCTCTTCCTCTTGGCCGTGGGGCATTTACATTAGCAACTATATATACTCTATTAACAGAAGTACTCATTCTTTTGTGTTTTTACATATATTTTTGATCAGTTGATCATTTACTTTTGGATTGATCACGTGAAGATATATGCTACATGTTTTCTGATTGGATCTCTTGCCACTTTATGCAGGCTTTTACTGTTCCAAAGCTTGTTTTAGCAGGGCGGTTGCCTGCCCAACAAAATGCTACTGTAAGTCCATAATTCTTTTGTTATTTCATTTCTTTCTCACAAACTTTTGTACTTTGGGAGATATCATATATACTATCGAGTTTCCCTTTGAGTGAGCAACTGTATTATCAACTATTAAAAATTAGAACTCGAAAACTTTCAGAAAAATATTATTGCATTTGGAATATGATAGAGCTTATGGCATTAAAGAAGGGCTTAATTTTCTATGTTTCGATCCAAAAGCTTTGCAAGGAACGTTTGATTGTTGAAAGTGACAGTAAACTAGCTGTGAATTGGGTTAAGAATTCTGATTGTTGTCCTTTTGTCTACTTAGACCTAGTTAAAGATATTGTTGCTAGGTTGAGAGTATTGGAGGGTGTTATTAGATGGGTTGCTAGGTCAGCCAATATTGAGGCTGATAGCTTAGCTAAGGCTGGTATTGGCTAGTTTCTCTATTTTGTTTGGGTTATTTTTATGGTTTGGGTGTGTTATTGTAAAGGGATTGTTTATGTTTGTTTTTAAACATTATGTTATCTTTCGGCTATTAATGAATTCTAAGGCACTCTTTTCCTCCTTCCACTAATTAATGAGCACCTTATGGTGTTCCATTAATTATGAAGGGGGTTTTTAACGAGGCCTTCTCTATCAAAAAAAAAATTGTTTCGCTGTAGGATGCTTGGGTTAAGAATCTTGTGTTTAACCACAAAAACCTTTTGTAATCCTGTTCTTCTGCTTACTCTTCTTCCTTTTAAGCATTCCTCCGATTTATCTCTTTTGCATCATATGCACAGTGTTTTTTTTGTACTTATTTTCTACAATTATCCTGCTGGTAGGTTAATCTTGATCCAAGCATAAGGAACATACAAGAACTGAAGTCATGGCCTGAGTTCCACAATGCTGTTGCTGCCGGATTAAGACTGGCCCCACTTCAGGTTTATATGATATCTTAAGAAAGTGTAATATCTGTTTTATGATGTCCAAAACTTCATGTTTCTTTATGGACAAATTCTTTGAATAATTGCTTATGTTGGCTGGTATTCCCCCCCCCCCACCGGTGAATATATGGTTAAAAGTACCTCTTGAAATTTGAAATTGGATGTTTTCGTTTATGTCAATTTGCAAAGCTAATGCTCTACATTTTTTTTTCTCTTGCTCAGTTCTTTTTGGGTGCTAATATATTGCTTGGTTTATGCATGCCTGCTAGTTTGGATTCTTATGCAATGCATTTTAAGCTTTTCAGGGAAAAGTGTGTAGAACATGGATAATATATAACAAGCCCGAGGAACCTAATGCAGTTCATGCTGGACTTCTCCTTGCTCTTGGATTACATGGATTTCTGCGTGTTTTACGGATTACGGACATATACCAATACTTTTCACAGGTTTCTTTGTTCGTTAAAACTTTCTTATTGCAGTTGATTTAGTTGCAGCACAACACAGTTATGTGATCCTGTGACTGAAATTCTCAAGATAAATGGGAAGAAATCAGTATTTTATTAAATGCAAATTTCTGAGTGAATGAAGTTTAAAGTGACAAATCATGATTCAAACTCTTTAATTTTGATGACCTGAAGTAATTGCATTCACTTTATGATTTCTGGTATTACTATAGTTGTAATCACTGAGGTGGGAACTTTTCTATCTTTTCATGTGATACACTTGTTACTTTTGATAATTACTCTCAATACTCAAATAGCTCCTATTATTATCATCATTAGGTTTTAATATGCTATACTGATACTTTTTAACATGAGTGTGAAAGGTAGAGAGAGAGTGAGGGAGAGTTCGAAGGGTTCTATTCGTCCAGTCAGGAGTCGGCCTTTGCTGGGAGCAATATCGTGGGTTGCATTCGTGGATAATCTTAGCAGGCGAGTGCAGAGAAGTGCATTATGGGATCGTTTTAGTCATTATGGTAAGGTGATTAAGGTGTTCATTCCATTTGTTAATAGGAGACCATATTACAAGGATAGTACGGTTGCCTTTGTGCATTTTGCTAGCAAAGATGATTTGCATCTAGCAATTGAAAAGATGAATAATGTCTCGGTCGATGGGAGGAGAATATCGGTGTCGATTGCCAAATATCAGAAGAAATGTATTTCGAGGAGTCTCAAACGTACTAGTGGGGCGAGGTCTTCAGATGCTGGTGTGGATGGGTTGCTCAGGAAACTTCCATCATCTCAAGGAAAGAAGGAGATGATGAATAAGTTTCATAATGGAAGGACATACAAGGAGACGGTTGTGGGTGCAAAGGAAGTTGAGGGCCAGTTAATGGGGAGCTTTGGAGCTAAGAAGGAGGGGAAGAAGCAGTTAGAAGTTTTTATTCCAATGGAGGATAGATCATGGCTGAGATCGTCGTTGACAGGTATTTGTAAGCCATTATTTGAAGTTGAGTTTGTGGAAAGGGCGTTAAGGACAGAAGGAATCAATGTCAAAGTGGTTCAATGGGGTTATGCAAAAAAAGCCTGTCTGGTAGTTTTCCAGACTGCTGAGGAGAAAGCTGTAACAATGGATAACAAGTGGGAGACCTTGTCCTTCTGGTTCGAGAGGTTGGAGCACGTTATGGAAGAAGAGGGTGTGCCATTACCTTACTGTGCAGTGTCTATGATTGGTGTTCCTCTTAACTGTTGGTCAGTTCCTTTCTTCACAAGCTTGGCGTCGAAATGGGGTAAGCTAGTTAAGATACAGGAACAAACTACTAACAAAGTGGATTGTAGAGTAGCTCACATGCTATTGAGGGTTGAAAGTCCCTTTGATATTCCTCCCCACGTTATTATTAATACGTATGGGAGATCGTTCATGGTTAAGATTAAGGTGGAAGGAAGTGATGATTTTTTTCCGGAGTTAGAGGATATGGTTGAAGATGACGGAACAGTGGCTTCTAGGGAGAAGAATTTGCTAGACTGGAGCCAGCGGGATGTCCAGGAGGGACAGAAAGAGCAGTGGGGTGATCAGTCCTTGTCAGACTCTCAGGACAGGGTTGAAGCATGGGTTCGGGGTGATAAACAAGGGGTTGACACGGTTATCGATGGAAATTTGAAAATTATAGAAGGGACAGATCATTTGTTGGCTGTTGACTTTTGCTCTGCGGAGGTAGCAGCAGCAGGTGATGTTCCCGGTCAACAGAGAGTGTCAGAGGATTTTAATGAAGAAAGAGAAAAGGAGAGATCCGTGGAAGGTGTCACCTTGGGCCAGGATAAGGGTGTACAAGAGAATGGGCTTAATACCAGCTTGGTCAGAAGTCAAACAAGTGGGCCTGAGCAAGGGAGTTTAAGGTCGAACACTGTCCGTTTCCAGTCTGCAGAAATGTCAATTGGTGATCAGTCTGATTCAAGCTTGCAGAATCGGTCCATATCACCGGCGAGACGTTGCCATATTGGGAAATGTGCGTCAGTAAGTAACATTGAAAGAGGTTTTTATAAGAATGTTTATTCTAGGAGGTGGGAAGTTGAGAGTTGCAATGGCAGGGAGATAGTCTCCTTTGCAGAGAACGAGAATGAGGGGGTGGCAGAGGCTTTGGAGTGTTGGAATGTGTCCAAATTGTTGGGGGTGAAATTTAAAGGAGGGGAGGAAGCTTTTATGGCTAAAATGGTTCCGATGGTGAATGATCTTAATTCGAAGGAGGGTCAGTAGATGTAGCTGGGCTGTAAGGTTATGATTAATTAATGATGGTTGCGTGGTCGATGATGTCTTGGAATGTTAGAGGTTTGGGTAGAAGAGTGAAAGCTCGAGCTATTAGGAGGTTTGTTGATGAGAAGAAACCTACAATTTTATTTTTGCAAGAGTCCAAATTGGAGGTTGTCAGCCATTTGTTAGTGAGGAAAATGGGCGGGAATTTTCTTACTGGTTCGGCAGTAGCTCCTTCCATAGGATCTGCTGGTGGATTAATAACCTTGTGGAATCAGAAGGTATTGGTGCTGGAAGATATAGTCATTTATAGCAGATTTGTAGCAATAAAAGGGTCTATGGAGGGACTTTCAGGAAGTTGTTTTTTCATTAATGTGTATGGCCCTAGTCTGGCTGCAGAAAAAGAGACATTTTTCAGGGAGCTATTATCTTTTCTGGATAATGTGGATTGCCCTTTATGCTTAGGTGGAGACTTCAATGTAGTTGTCTCAGGAGGAAAAAGAAGGAGCTGTGAATTCGGTGACTATGAATATTTTTAGGGATTTTGTGAGCAAGGCAAATTTGCTTGATTTGCCATTGTCAGGAGGTCGTTTTACATGGTGTAATAATAGGGAAGCTCCTACGTTCGAGAGGTTGGATCGTTTTTTGGTTGACCATAGATTTGTAAGTTTGTTCCCGAAGCTAAGTCAATCATTGCAGCCAAGGTCCGTTTCCGATCATAATATTATTCTGTTAGAGAACAAGGATTGCAATTGGGGCCTGAAGCCGTTTAGGTTATTTAACTATGTTATGGAGGAGGAGGGCTTTACTGAGATGATGGGTAAGGAGCTGGATAATATATGTAAAGAGGAAAAGGGGAAGCCCATGTCTAAGGTGCTTAAGCGGGTGAAGGGAGTGGTTATGAGATGGTCTGGGAAGGGTTATTTAGAGTTGCCTGGAAAAATCAAACTGTTGGAGAAAAGAATTCAAGTTATGGAGTTGGAGCTGCAACAAGGCCTTCCTTCGGTGACAATGAGGTCAATAATTGAAGCAAAGAGAGATTTATGGGAGCTCCAAAAGAAAGAAGAATCGATTTGGTTGCAAAAATCGAGACTGAAATGGAGATTGGAGGGAGATAAGAACACCAGATTTTTCCATCATTCTGCCACAGTTAGAGGAAGAAATAATGGCATTAAGTCCCTTTTAGTGGGAAATGAAGTCATAGAAGATCCTACCTTAATTAGGAATTCGGTGGTAGAGTTCTTCAAGGGTCTGTTTTCTCAGGAAAATTCTTTGGAGGCTGAGGATATGAATCTGGATTTTTTAAAATTATCGGAAGGACAGAGTTTAGCACTTGAAAAGCCATTTTCGGAAGAAGAAGTTTGGAGAGCAATTGCTGATTCGGATAGTAACAAAGCTCCTGGCCCAGATGGTTTGAATTTAGGTTTTTTCAAGAAATTCTGGTCTAATTTGAAAGATGATATTATGCTGTTTTTTAATGAATTTTTCGAGGGGAAGGAGTGGGACTTGGGGGTGAATCATTCCTTTATTTCTCTTATTCTTAAGAAGATTAACCCGGAGGGGATGGGGGATTTTAGGCCAATTAGCCTTGTGGGAGGGCTATATAAAATTCTGTCTAAGGTCTTGGCTAGGAGGTTCAATTTGTGCATTAATGACATTATTAGTCCGTCCCAATTTGCATTTATCCAAGGGAGAAACATTCTGGATTGTTCATTCATAGCGAATGAAGGAATCAACTTCTGGAGGAAGAAAGGGCTGAAGGGGGTGGTCTTTAAGGTGGATTTCAAGAGAGCTTATGATTCAGTTGATTGGCTGATCTTATTGAAAATATTGGGTAAAATGGGGTTTGGCGATAAATGGCGGTCTTGGATGCTTCAGTGCATGTCTACAGCTTCTATTTCTGTTCTACTGAATGGGACTCCTACTGAGAAAATCCAAATAAAAAGAGGTCTTAGACAGGGGTGTTCGTTATCACCCTTGCTGTTTAATTTGGGTGGTGAATTGCTTCATTTGCTGTTAACTAAAGCAGTGGATTTGGGATTATTTTCAGGTTTTGAGTTGGGAACTCATGATCGTTCATTCAAACTCTCGCATCTACAATTTGCGGATGACCTAATTATTTTTACAAAGGCCTCAATTCGGGATTTGAAGAATGTTAGAAGGGTGCTTTTGATTTACGAGTTATTGGTGGGGTTGAAGATTAATCTAGTCAAGAGCAGAATTTTTGGAATTAATATTGAGGATGATGTGCTTGTTGATTGGTCGAAGGAAATTGGCTGTTCAGTGGGTAAATTTCCAGCAGACTATTTAGGCTTGCCTCTGGGGTCTAAGAGAAATTCTATTGCAATGTGGGAGCCAATCGTGCATAATTTCTATAATAGGTTGTCTGGTTGGAAGGCAAATTCTCTAGCATTAGCAGGGAGGGTGGTGTTGATCAAATCTGTTTTGTGCTCTCTCTCCACCTATTTCCTTTCTTTATTTCGTATTCCAGCTTCGGTGCTGCAGAAATTAAATTCTATAATGGCTGCCTTTTTATGGGGGGGGGTCGACTGATAAAAAAAACATACATTGGGTGAACTGGGGATTGGTCAGCAAACCGAGAAGGTTGGGGGGTCTTGGGATCCCGAACTTAGCTATATTGAACAGAGCATTGTTGGGTAAATGGGTATGGAAGTTTGCCTCTGAAAAGGATTCTTGGTGGAAGAGAGTTGTTTGCTGTGTGAATAATTTGGACCTGAACTCCAAAATGTTAGAGAGTTCTTTGACTGCTCGTGCATCTTGGATTTGGAGAGGAGTGATTAATAACTTCTTTTCCAATGATGAGTTTGGTGACTGCTTTAGGAGTAATTTGCGGTGGAAAACTGGAAATGGCCGTTCTGTGGTATTTTGGAATGATGTTTGGTTGGGAGAAGTCTCCCTTAAAGTTTTGTTCCCTAGACTTTATGCACTTTCAACGAATAAAGAGGGGAAAGTAGTGGAGTTTAGGGAGGAACAGGTTGCAGGATGGGTGTGGGATATTCAATTCAGAAGAAATCTGGCGGATTGGGAGATTGACCAATGGTTGCATCTGATTTCTATGCTGAATAACACCTCTTTGGCTCATGACGAGGAAGATTGCTGGATTTGGTTAGGGAATGGAGAGGGTTGTTTCTCTACTAATTCTTGTATAAAAATTTTCCATGGCTCGGAAGGTACTGAGGGGAATCAAGATGTTTGGGACAGGAAAATTTGGGTAGGGATAGCCCCTCTTCGTGTTGAAACCTTCTTATGGCAAGTAGTTCATCTGAGATTGGCGGTTAAGGAGGAACTGTTAAAGCGTGGTGTGGCTGGAATTGAAGATTTCTTATGTCCGTTGTGTGGCAGATTTGGGGAAACTGTTTCTCATCTTTTTCTGCATTGTGAGGTTGCTTGGGGACTGTGGGCCAGATTTTTGAATATGTGGGATGTTGTTTGGGTGATTCCTAATAATCCCTTAGATTGTATCACTCAGTGGGATGAGCTTCTTCCGAACTCTAGTATTTGGAAATTCATTCCAAGGGCAGTCTTGTGGACGGTGTGGAAAATTAGGAACGAGGTTATTTTTAAGAATGGGAAGCTAGATGTGGTGTTGTTGTTCTTTATTGCTCGTTTTAGAATAGCTTCTTGGTTTGCTGCTAGTTTTGATATGCTGATTCCTTTCGACTCCCTTGTGGGTGATTTAACACTTGCTGATTTAATGGTTAGTCACAAAGCAAGATCCAAACCGTCTTTTGCTGGGTTCCTCCTCCAGTTGGTTTTATTAAGATTAATGTTGATGGAGCGATGGTGAAGGGGTGGAACAAAGGAGGTATAGGAGGTCTGATTAGGGACAGCAGTGGTAGGTTGATTCATTGGTTTTCTGAAAAGGTTGGGGGTGGTCCTCCGATTATGGCAGAACTTTTGGCGATTAAGAGAGGGTTGTGTTTGCTTATTGATTCAGGTGAGGTTCTTAATCAGAGGATTATTTTAGAATCGGACTCTACTAACGCGCTGAAGTGGATTAAAAATCCGGAATTAAGCACCCCTTTATTCCAATCATTGGTGAAGGAGATCGTCTCTATTATGGAAGGGATGGATATTATGTTAAGGCTAATCTTGAGGGCTGCCAATTGGGAAGCGGACAGTTTAGCTAAAGATGGTATTGGTTGATTAGCTGCCTTTGTATTTGACGAGTTGGAGTGTATGTTTCATTTTGTTTATGCAGGTTTTTGTTCTCAGTATTATGTAATTTGTGTCTACGTTTTCCAGCTGATAGTGGTTTTTAAGTCTTATGCTTTCTGGGAAGGTTTATTTTGTTGTAGAGTGGGTAATGTACTTTTCTTCTGTTTAATAAAATTATAGGCGCTCTTTTCCTCCTTTCATTACCCTTCATGTTACTTTCATAACATGGAGGGTAAAAAGGAGGTTTTTTATGAGGCCTCATCTTCTATCAAAAAAAAAATATGCTATACTGATTTTTTTCACCGATAGGAACATGAAAGCACAACTGCAGGTTTAATGCTCGGTCTGGCAACTTCTTATAGAGGGACTATGCAACCTTCAATAGCAAAGGTATTCTATGTATTTTTGAAGTTGAACCTAGTACCCAAGGGTTCACTGATAATATTAACATTCTTCCATCATTGCAGATTTACATATATCTGCTATTTCATTTAACCTAAACAATGGCTCTACTCTATACAGTGTCTTTATGTGCATATACCTGCTCACCATCCATCTTCCTATCCAGAGTTGGAGTTACCAACACTGCTTCAGGTAAGAGATTGCATTTCTCTCATTGTATCACTTACATGATTGTACGCATTAGGATTTGAATATAGGTTCATTCCTTCATTCTTTTTGATAGGAAAAGGAGGCCTCTTTAAAAACCTCCCTCATAGTTGCCTCTTGAGAAGAGGCAACTAGCAGAAGGAGGAAAAGAGTGCCTCAATATATTAATAAACCATAATTACATAAGATTACCAAACATAACAAACAACCAAGACCAAAACACCAAAACCAGAACACAATACAACAACCTCCAACATCAACCCACCAACCCCATTCTCACCAAAACACAATCTCAGCACTCACTAACCAATTCCTAATTTAGCTAAACAAGCAGCTTCCTCATTAATACATCTACTGATATGATTGATAATAACATTAAAATGCAACACAATCTTCTGAATTTCTGACACCAAATCAACTAAGTGAACCGGGCAAAGATCAAGGCTGTTGATCCACTTCACAGCAAGATATGAATCGCTTTCTAAAATCAGATTCCCCTTATCCTTCCAAACTGAATCAAAAAACACATCTAACCCTGCTTTGATTGCAAATATCTCAGCAGTAATCGGAGAACAAGGCCCTGTCGCTCTAGACAAGAAATCCAACTACTTATTATCAGCATCCTTTGGGACTCCTCCAATACCACTTCTTCTCCAGTCAAAAGTAAAAGCCCCATCAACATTCATCTTAAAATAGCCCGAAGGAGGGCACCACTTTAATTTAGGCAAACGAAAGTTAGAGGGGGAACGATGCATATCCGCCAAAGTTAAGTCACCCACAAGGCTATCAACCTGAATAGTTAAGTCATTGTTTTTAGCCAAGAACCATGAAGCCACCCTATACCTCACCAAAAAGAATAGATTAGCTTTATCCAGCTTGCCATTCTCAAACACTATCTGATTCCTGCAAATCCAGACAGTCCACAAAACAGCTCCCGGAAGAAATTGCCAGATAACCGAGTATGGCCTTAATTGCAACCAAGAAAGCAATAACCCTTTAGGATTATTGGGTAGTACTGAACAAACATTCCACAAATGGAGTAGTTCTGCCCAAAACTCCCAAACCAGCTCACAAGAAAAGAATAAGTGACTCACCGATTCTGGTTCCACTCCACAAAACACGCAAAGTGGGTTCTCTACACCTTTGACCCCTCGGCTCAATAAAACATATTTGACAGCAAGCTTCTGATGAATAATTTGCCAAAGAAAAACCTCCACTTTTGGTGGAACTAAACCCTTTCACACAATCTCCAACCAGGAAGTATCTGCGTCTGATAATCTTGAAATCATTCTAGAACAAGATTGAACCGAAAAAACACCATCCCCATTTGCTTTCCAAGCATAACAATCTTCACACTTCAAGAAATGACGAAAATTCTGCAACAATATCATCATTTCCATCCATCGTTCAAATTCACTGTCCATTAAATCCCTCCTAAGCAGAAAATCCCACACCCATTCCCCATTAGAAACGTACCCAAAATCAGCCACAACCCCATCCTTATTGACCGACAAAGCAAATATCCTTGAAAATTGAGACTTCAAAGGATAGTTACTAATTCATGAGTCATGCTAGAACCTAATAGAATCTCCTTTTCTAACATGTAGCACTAGATGATTACGGAAACATAACCCAAAAGTGTCATTCGACTGAAAATTATTTAATACGCCTCTCCAAATCCAAGACGCATTGGAAGGCAAATTACCATCTAAAACAATAGATCTCCTATCAATATTATACTTAGAACAAATCATTCTCTTCCACGAAGAATCCTTCTTACTACCAAACTTCCAAACCCATTTGCCCAAGAGAGCTCTATTCCGTAGCTTAAGATTCGAAATACCCAGTCCTCCAAAATCATTACTTTTACAAACAGTATTCCAATTAACCCAATGGATCCATTTCTTCTCTGTCGATGAACCCCACTAGAAATTGGCCATAATAGATTCCAGTTTTTTCCGTACAACCACTGGCATCTTGAAAAGCGACATATAATAATTAGGAAGTGCATTCAGGACTGATTTTATCAAAACTGTCCTTCCTGCAATGGATAATGAACCTGATTTCCAGCCTGCAAGTTTCTTATAGAACTTATTCACAATCGGTTCTCATAGGTGAATAGAATTTCTCCTTGCTCCCAAGGGTAACCCCAGATACTCCGTCGGAAAAAAGCCTCATAAACAGCCTATAGAATTTGCCCATTCCCCAACAATCTGATCTTGTAAATTTATACCAAAATTCCTGCTCTTCAGCAGATTTAGTACCAAAACCCTCTTTAGATTTTCTAACTGACCTTTAGAAGCTTTGCAAAAAATTATCAAGTCATCAGCAAATTGTAGATGAGACATCATTACTGTAGAATTATCACAGCCTATCTGAAAACCATCGAACATCCCCAACACTACTGCTTTAGACAGCAACAGATTCATAAATTCACCCACAAAATTAAACATAATCGGGGATAGAGAACATCCTTGTCTCAGCCCCCTAGAAACTTTAAAGGTTTCAGTAGGAGAACCATTAACAAGAACTGAATTGAAGTTGTATTCAAACAATTTAAAATCCACGACCTCCATCTTCGACCGAACCCCATACACTCCATAATTTGGATTAAGATATTCCAATCCACAATATCGTAAGCTCTCTTGAAGTCCACTTTGAACACAATACCTTCCCTTCCTTTCCTTCTCCAATAATCAATGGCTTCATTAGCTATTAAGGAGCAATCACAAATTTTTCTACCCGGAATGAAAGCAAATTGAGAGTGACCAATCAACCCTCCTATGCACATCCTTAACCTTCTTGACAAAACTTTTGACAAAATTTTGTATAAACCCCTACGAAACTTATAGGTCTATAGTCTTCAATGCCAACCGGGTTCGTCTTCTTCGGAATTAGAGTAATGAAGGAGTGGTTCACACCTTTCCCAAACTTTTTACCATCATAAAAGTCTTTGAAAAACTTCTGAATATCTCCTTTCAAAACCGGCCAAAATTTCTTGAAAAATCCCATATTCAATCCATCAGGATCCGGAGCTTTGTTACTATTCGAAGACTCTATAGCCTCCCAAATTTCCTCCTCAGAGAAAATCCTTTCTAAGTGTGCGGCTTGATCCTCCGAGAGCCTATTAAAATTCAGATCCAACTTCTCAACCCCAACTGTTTGATTGACATTATAAGCTTCCTTGAAAAAATAAAAAATGGCAGATTTTATCATTTTTGGATCCTCAATCAAGTTACCTCTCACATCCAAAGAATTAAGAGCATTAGTCCTCCCTCTATTTGTAGCACATTGATGAAAGTACCTCGAGTTCCGATCACCATCCTGAATCCAACTCGCCCTTGATTTTTGGAACCAAATTAATTCTTCCTTCTTATACAATGACCATAATTCACTTTTTTCTTTTGAAATATCCACCTTTGAAACCATTGAATTCCTTTGTTGTATTTGTGCTTCTAGGTTCGAAATTAACCTCTCCTTGGCTGTCAATCAATTTTGGTCACCAGATTGTCACCATTGTTGTTTAAACTGAAATGAACCTTGCACATGCAGCTTTAGCAAGTAGTGAATATTGTTCTTTGAGTGTCTTTATATGAACGTTACAGTTACCTTCTCTGTTCTTTAGAATAATGATCCTTGCAAACTTTTCCGGATTCTACAGACTGCAGCACTAATGTCACTCGGGCTTCTTTTTGAAGGATCAGCACACCCCCAAACAATGCAAAGATTACTGGTATGGCTTTACCTCTTAAGTTCTTTTTCTTATCAACTTAATCGGATTTTTTATTAGTATTTTAGGTCAAATACAAGCATCCTTTTAATTTTCTTGAGAAAATTCAAAAATATACTTTAAATGCACGCATGTATACTTACAAACATCAAAATGGATATATACTTACTAAGGAATATGTGCATGTATACACACGTACTCCACATACATGCAATATATATCTTTTACACTGTATTTGTCTAACAAATTTCTGGTACTGTAGCTTTTTGCATTATTCTATGGTTCCTTGGGTAAAAGCTCCCAATAAAAAAAACAATATTTTGGTATATTAGTAAGTCAATTTCTACCCATGAGTTCTGACCATTCAATTTGAGGTTTTGGATAGATAACCATCTTGGGTTTTGATTATTTGTAACAGGGATTAAAAAGCATTATTCCTTTTTGTTACACTGGTGAAAATGCATGTCCCTATCATTGTAACATATGCAGTGCCTTTGGACTGTTTATATGTTTCTCTTATTTCTTAACTGTTTCCAGATCTCTTTCAGTTACACTCTTAAACTTGCGTATTTCACAGAGTGAAATAGGCCGAAGAAGTGGAGGTGACAATGTCCTTGAAAGGGAGGGTTATGCTGTTTCTGCAGGCTTTTCATTGGGTCTTGTTGCATTGGGTATGTATCATTATGGGCTTTTATATTAATGAATGTCTTAAAGTTATGGTTCAGCTAACTTCTATCTTAACTGAAGGCCGAGGAGAAGACACATTGGGATTAATGGATACACTGGTTGATCGGCTATTTCATTATATCGGTGGGAAGGAAATTCGTAATGTATGCTGCACGTTTTAAACTTGAATTATTCTTTTGCATTTTCTTCTGGTTGAGGGTATGAGTTCACAATCAATGCTTTTTGAAACATATTTCTTAGTTCTATACAAAAATAAATGATCTGCTATCCTTCCTGAAGTTTCCCTTCATTCAATTTGCACAAGGTACCATAAGTGCATTTTTATTTCATACTACTTTTCTCTTTTACACTTTTATTATTTTTCATTTTATACTAGTTAGTGCTTCTTTACATTTTAGGAGTGGGCAGACATATCGGATAGCTAAAGAAAAAATTGGATGATTATTTTGGGGAGGGAGCTGAATTTTCCCATGGCTTTTTAAACCTTGAATTTCTATACATTTTTTGAAGTGCAAGTCCTCTCTCTACTTTCTCTTCTTTTAACAACTATTTTCATTCAGGAAAGATCCCCCCTGCTTGCTACATCAGTGGATGAACACAACCTGGGCACTGGGCAGGTTTTTTTACCTCTCATTGACTTAATTTTTTTTTTTTGATAAGATTTGAAGGCCTCATTAAAAACCTCCTTCATGATTAATGGAGCTTGTATAGAAGCTCCTTAATCAGCGGAAAGAGGAAGAGTGCCTTATATTTCATTAGAAAATAATAATTACAACCATGGAAAATAAATCCAAATAACCCTTACAACAATAAGTAAACCCCAACCTAACAGGAAGCAAAAACCAATCTGAAAATACCAACAACATAAAAATCATCCTAAACCAGCCTTTGCTAAAGCATCAGCATCCATGTTAGCTGTCCTTGCAACCCATCTAACAACCCCCCCCCCCCAAAAAAAAAATTCTAAGACTGTCAACTATGTCTGTAACAATAAAACCATATACAACTGGACATGAATCAACATCATTGATCCAGTCTACTGCAACCCTGCTATCACTCTCAACAATCAGCCTATCTTTGAACCTCCCTTGAAACGAGGCAAAGAAAGAAATGCCCCTTTGAATAGCTTTAAGTTCCTTCAAAGTCGGAGGTCCCGAACCAGCAGGCTCCTGAAAAGAACCTAGGATTACACCAGAATGATCCCTCAAAAGACCTCCAAGACCTGATTTCTTCCAATCACTGCTAATGGCTGCATCCACATTCTCATTGACTTAATTAAGCTCCCTATTTATTTTGAAGATTAAAATATATACATATTTTCTATGAAGGTTGCTGATACTGTTATTTTGGTGTACTAGATGATGGATGGAACCACTGTCAATGTTGATGTCACTGCACCTGGGGCTATGATAGCTCTTGCTCTAATGTTTTTGAAGGTAATGTTTAACTAGACAAATGTGAGCAGATCATCACGTATATGATGTAAATCAGATATTCACCTTTCTCATTTTTTTATGCCAGAGTGAATCAGAGGTGATTGTCTCTAGGCTCACAATTCCCCAAACAAATTTCGATTTGCAATACGTAAGACCTGATTTTATAATGTTTCGTGTCATTGCTCGGAATTTGATCATGTGGGGCAGGTAATTTTGATTTTCAATTATTGAATCATTCACTGTCTAATCTTCTAGTTTTTAGGTCTGAGTTTAAGATTTTCGTCTCAGGATTCATCCCTCTAAAGACTGGATTCAGTCTCAGATTCCTGAAATTGTAAAAAATGGTGTCAATAGCCTTGGAGATGATGCCATGGATATTGATGAAATGGATGCAGAAACTGCTGTACAGGCATATGTCAATATAGTAGCTGGGGCATGTATTTCTCTTGGTATGGTATTCCTGCTGATTCATATGCTAATTACGACGTTTAGTCTTGCATATTCTCTTATTCATGTGGACGGCCCTGGAAAGAGTGTATCTTAAGTCTGTTATGATGAATTGTTGGCAGGGTTGAGATTTGCTGGCACAAAGGATGGAAATGCACAGGAGTTGCTTTATGAATATGCTGTCTACTTCCTGAATGAGGTCTTACATAGGATATCTATTGCTCAACAAGTACAATTCGTTTTTGATAGATAACTAAGTAATTGTAATGACTGCAGATCAAGCTTGTTTCCACTACAAACAGGAATACCTTCCCCAAGGGTTTATCTCAGTATGTTGACCGAGGCACATTTGAGATGTGCCTTCATCTTATTGTTCTATCCTTGTCTGTGGTAAATGAACTTGATAATTTGATTCCTATTCTTATTTTTGTTATTTTGCCAATTTATGCCAAGTAATAGTGGGTGACTTCTGAGGCCTTTTGGAAGCAGGTTATGGCTGGTTCTGGACATTTACAGACCTTCCGGCTTTTAAGGTTTCTCCGCAACCGAAGCTCTGTAGATGGTCATGCTAACTATGGTATCCAGATGGTGGTAATGTTTCTACATATTCCATAGTGATGGATCCAATTGAACTATTCAAGTGCTTATCATGTACTTTCCCCCAGCTGATTTAGGATATAATCCATTGTATGCCTGTTTTTATGATCTCGTGCTTGTCATGAACTCTCAAATTGTGGAAATTGCAATTTTTATGCTGAGAATTTATAAGATAAAGATAATATATTGGTTTATGAACATGGATTCTATAATTCACCTGCTGCAAAAAAAAAAAAAAAAATCATATGCTGTTTATCATCATTTATATCATGCCTTGAATATCCCCTGCATTGGTTTGCCATATGTCCGCTTGTTGAATCTTTGCGGAGATCTTATAAACCCTTTGAGCAGTAAGGGTTCAATGGTTCTTCTATTTCTTCATGGAACATTAAGAACATCTCTATGGCCAAGCTTTCATCAGAAAACAATACTAAATACGTAAGAATGTATGGCTTCTTGGTCACAAGTCAGTGTAGCTTTAAACAAGCTTCTTCCCAGAGACGACTTATATCATGTTTTTTTGCATTAATTTAAATGGGCAGTCTGGCTATAACATGCATTCAAACAATTTACTTATTTCTAGGGCATCTTAATTTATTTGCATATTCCGGTTTTAGGTGAGCTTAGCAATTGGTTTCTTGTTTCTTGGTGGAGGCACGAGGACATTTTCTACCAGCAACAGTTCCATTGCAGCATTGCTTATCACTCTCTATCCACAGTTGCCTACAGGACCTAATGACAACCGTTGCCACCTTCAGGTATGTTAAGATTTAAGGTGTTTTTTGGGTAGCTTAAAATTGATCGGGTGGAAATAGTACATGGTTCAGCACAAGCAATATGAACAGTGTTTTACTATTGTTTTTAGATGGTAAAGTCCGGTGGGTTATATTTTCTTCAAGAGACTTGAATTCTTTTTCATTTTCCCAAATTGGCACATATGCTCTACCTTTACCACTTCTCTATATGATACTTCATTTTCCAGGCATTCAGACATTTGTATGTCCTTGCAACGGAGGCTCGCTGGCTTCAAACTATTGATGTCGACACTGGCCTCCCTGTTTATGCTCCTCTTGAAGTCACAATCAGGGAAACTGAGCATTATTCTGAAACGAGTTTTTGTGAGATTACTCCTTGCATTCTGCCCGAGCGTTCTATTGTAAGTTCAAGATCATGAATCTGCTGGCTTTTGAGTAACACTTTGAGCTTTGAAGTAACGTTTAAACTTTCTGTTGGCACTGTGGCATAAACTACCTGTCTGCTAATACATCTATTATCAAAATTTCTTGCATGTAATGCTTTACTTGCCATGTTGTTGCAGTTGAAGACAGTTCGTGTCTGTGGCCCTCGATACTGGCCTCAAGTGATTGAGCTTGTTCCCGAAAGTATGTGGAATTTGTTGCTGCAATTTTTCTTGCTATATGTTAATTTCCATATTTCTGATAATTTCCCCTCTACAGATGAGCCTTGGTGGAGTTTGGGTGACAGGAATGACCCATTTCACTCTGGTATTCTCCATGTGAAACGGAAGGTTGGAGCTTGTTCATATGTGGATGATCCCATAGGGTGTCAGTCACTGCTTTCACGAGCAATGCACAAGGTTTTGTTTGCAGAACTTTACATTATCCGTCCCTTCTTCCCCGGTAATAGTTTTCTTTTCATGGAAGTTGATTTATCTAGCCATTTAGGTCTTTGGTTCGACAAGTCTAAGAGCAGGAGATGATGGACCTACTGCCATCACTGTTGATCAACTTGTCAGCACCTTCTCTTCTGATCCAAGCTTAATTGTTTTTGCACAACTCTTCTGTGACCTTTCCTGGAATAGCAAGTAAGTTAAGAAATCCCTTCTATTTATTGTCGGCGACACTTGTAAAGTCTACAACGTAGTGAATGAATTAAAGGTTCCTATTGTCATAATCTATTCCATAATATAGATGCAGTCATTGTGGGAAAATGAAAACTAAAATGGAGATTTCTGTCATGCTTATACGTGTGCCTATGTATTTTTCATTCCCAAATCAACGTGCTTGCAGATCTGATGTTGACTTCCAGGAGTTTTGCTTACAAGTATTGTTTGAGTGTATAAGCAAGGATAGACCAGCTCTTCTGCAGGTAATAGTCTGATTTAGTTGTAAATCCTTCTTTTGTTTAGGATTTTGGTCACCTACATTACAATGTCAACTGGAAATAAGTTAATTTGTTGGCATTACTGAGGATTAATCAGATCAAGTTTTCTAGACGTGTATACACGATTCTTCCCGTATTTTTATCGTCTATTTCTCAATATGTGAATGTCTTTATAATAATCTGTGTTAATCTCTCTCTCTCTCTGCCTTTTAGGTCTATTTATCCTTGTACACCACCATTGGCACCTTGGCAGAGCAGGTCTCCAGCAGCGATCTTCTTGTCGGCGACTCATTATCTCTCTCTAATTTAAAGGTGCATTTCCGTAACTTCTTTATGCACTCTGTCATTTTTCTTGGAATATTTCAACATTATCCATATCGGCCCGTAGGTCACATACTCGTATCCGTAACATATGCCATATGCTTCTGTTCTGTAGCTTGCATTGTCCTATAACGAGGCTGTCTTGACTGGAAGGTTGACCACTTCAAATGGCAGCATTGTTCAATCTGTGTTTCTAGGATCTCTTCGGAAGCGGGTTGAAGAACTCCTGAATTGTTCAGAGGCGTTAAAGAATGATTTGCGTAATTATTTGAAGTCGGGTAGTTGGCCTGATGATGATAGATCCAGAGGAGTGAAAAGTTCAACAATTCTTTCTTGGTATCTCCAATGGTTTGGTGTAGCAGCCCCGGCTACGGTGAAGGCAACGGTGGACAGAATTAATCACATGAACATCTCTTCGTCTCGGGTTCCTTTGTTGTGTTTGTTGTTACCAGGCACTCACATAAATGCAATCGAAGAGATAAATCGACTTCTGTTGTCTTCCTGAGTGAACAGATGAAGGCTTATGTGTTTTAATTTTATTATGATATTTTTTAATTTTTATAATGTTATTAGTTGTTCTAAATAATTAATATTGTTATTTTTAAACCAATGCGTTATGACGTGCCTTTTTTTGGTTGTTAACATAGGAGTGACAACAAAATCTAATATATAAAGTTAAATGATTAAACTGAAAATAATTAAAAGTATAGTGAGAGAAATAGAAAAGAGATAGTAAAGTTTAATGATTAAATTTATAATTTATCAATTAAAAAATGAAATAAAAAAAGTTACTACATGACAAAAAAAATTAATGTATTAAGTACAGTAAGAAAATTAAAAAATAAAATCTAATATTTTATTAATGATAAAGTCAAATAAACCATAAATGTGACTCATTAAAAACCTTCATAAATCTATGCGGAGGAAAAGAGTACAACATAATCAAGCATGAAACATAGTTCAAAACAAACACAATCTAAACCTGCAGCAACCTGCTGAAAACAACTTAAACCTTGCAACACATGCAAAAAATCACAAAATTCAACTAAAATCACAGCTAAACCCAACAAAACCTTTTCACCCACGCAAACAACCTGAAGACAAATACCCTAGAAACCAGATTAATTCCATGCTCAACCCAAGTGAAGTTGGGTTAAACATTTTCCTCAATTCACTTAGCCCATGTCCTATACATCTACAACTTGAAAAGAAAATGAAATTCGATTCGAGTTTTCATTAATTCTCAAACAACTTGAAAGGCAGCAACATCCGCAAACTGATCAACTCCAAATGCTTTTATTAGCATGACAATGTAATCTGTCAACTGATGCCTTCCAAAATAACCTCCACCTACAAAAGAATGAGAAAACATAATAAGCAATCAAACTTTTAATGTACAAATTTACCTCGACTAGAATCACAGACATAAGATTAATGTTCAAGCCGGAAATTTACCTATGCATTATCCAGAAGTTGCATCAGCATACACAAGCATTAATAAAAATTGTGAATTTCACCGTCATTTCACAAAATTTGTCTAGAAGAATCACTAGAAAGTAGAGACTTATTCCTTATTCCACTCATTGCACCCTTGTGCAAGCAATTTTTCCTGTGGAGGGGGTGTCTATATATCAACTGTAACGGCCAGTAGTTTGGAGAGAAGTTCATTTCTTACAGATTGCATTCTTTTTCTTCTTCTTCTTCAAATTCCTCTCTAACGTTTTGAACAAAGCAATGAGTTTCAAACTCAGGTCAGTTCATTGTATACAGCATCAGCAAGGGTAGTTTTGCCTATACCACCAACTCCCCAAAGTCCTATTGCACGTTTGTCTTCTTGTTTAATCAGCTTCAAAAATTTTCCTTTCTGGTCATCTATTCCAATCAAACCATCTGAAACGCTTATTCAACTTTTTTATGACATCTTGAAAGACATCTTTAATGTATTCGGGATCAGATCTGGAAAATATGTATAAAAATGATTGTCAAAACAAAAACAAGTCAATTATAAAGAGACGAAACATATGGTTACCTATCAGAATAGCTTCCTTCTATAGTCCACCCTTGCAATCCACAGACTTCAGCTAAGTCCTCCTTCCATTGTTGCACTTGAGGTTGCCCTTTGAAACTCTCTTCGAGATTCTTCTGCACATCAGAAGGTTTAACGTGATAAAAGACGGGCATAACAACATGTTTTTGAGTGCTCCTGCGCCTCCTGATGTCAGAGAGTTGAGCCAAGCATGTTTTCGAAGAAGCATAGTCTTTAGATAAAACGACGAAATGGGTGCATGAGGGAATTGAAAGAGTGTTGATTGGAGCCGATGGAAACGAAGGGAATTGGAAGGAAATATAGGGAGGGAAAAAGCATTAAAACATCAATGAAACGATTATATCAATGAAAAAATTAGTTGATAATATGTACTAAAAAAATAAATGTCATATTTCTAAAGTATCGATTTAATGAATCAAACGATCTTAATTGTTTCTCGATTAATTTGAACACCTAAGTAAGCCTTAAAACATTGAGTATGAATGGTTAGATAGATGCAGAAGCGAAAATGAACAAAGGAAGGGAATTACACACAAAAAAAACTAACTTCATCTCAACTATTAAAAGTTATAAAATGGCTACTCGACTACTTATTATGTTCCCAACTCGTTCTTTTCTATTAAAAAACTGGCGGTCGTCTAAGCTGGACGTTAACATGATGGTTAAGATATGATAGTTATTTGAGATTCTGAGATCATGTGTTATCATATCAGAGTCAACAGGTAAAGTTCATCTCAAAATATTATCAATTTTTTAACGGAAAATGATGAGTTTGGAACATCATAAATAGTGGGTAGCTATTTTGTAACTTAATAGTCGATGGACTCAACAAAGCAACACTCTATAGACAAAGAACTATTTTTGAACTTTTAACCTATGAACTTAATAAAACAATACCCTAAAATCGAAGACCATTTGTATACTTTACCAATCAATTAATTTCTTTAAAAGAAAACTTTTCCTCTAACCAAATTTTTTTTTTATGTAAATCAGAATAAAACTCGAAAAAATATTGATTCTTTTACCTTTTTATTATATTTGAACAAAAAATTATACTTATATTTCAACAAAAATATCTATACGATCTGCTTTTTGTTGACAAGAATGTGATGACGAAAAAAAGATAAAATAATATAATAAATATTGAAAAATGAAATATAAATAATAATATAAAAGATGGTGAAATGACCACGTCGACCGTTCTTCTTAAAATCCACAAACTTTGTTTTGATCCATTTGTGGGTCAAATTCTCCCACCGTTATTGTCACTCCCATGGCCATAATTACATGGTTTAAAGGTACGTTCAGAAAAGTTTATCTTCTTAAAATCTTAATTTTTTACCTATTTTTATTAATAATTTAATTTTTTTTAAATTAAATTATTTTCAGAAAATAATTCTTGATATAAAATTCTACACTCACCCGTATATGTGACTGTAATATCATATCATCTTTGGAAAATATAAAATATTACGATAATAGTTCTATTAATTTTCTGAATACATGTAATTAAAACAAATCAAGATTACCTGCTCCTAGAGTATAATATGTTTTAAGCTTGAAAAACTTTTTAGTGCCTAAATTACATCTCAAAAAATGATTTTGTGCCTAAAGAATCTTTTGTTAATAATAAATTTTTAACATTTTTAACGTTATACTTTTAGGCGTCTGGATTGTAACAACGTTAAATTCGATCGATATCTGACACGTGTCATGCATATAAAATTTTAGAATTTATTTTATTTTAAAAAAACTTAATATTATAATTAAAAAAATCCCAAAGTTTTATATCTTCTACCGTCGATCGGTCATCGTCGATCTGTGGCTGTCATCGTTGACACTATCAGAACCGTCTTGTTGTCGTGACCAAGACCTAATTCCCCGCCCGCCGTGAAACTACGCCGATCATCTTGAAAAACGTCATAAAGGTTGACAGATTTTTAGGTTTTTCGTTACCATTTTCCGATGATTTCGACGGTCGTACGTTACACGACCGTCACCGTTGAGTTTCTCATCTTACTCCGAACAAAACACAACTGGTGGTGACCCTTCACCATCGGTGGTGGGGGATGGGAGAGAGGGGAACAATACGTATGTTTGATTATTTTAAATAATATTTTTATCATTAAAAAAACTAAAAAATATAACGATAAATATCTAAAAATTTTAAAAAATATAACTATAAACACTTAAAAATATAATGGATGAAATATGAAAAATCTATTACTAACAAAAAAAACTTTAAACATTCAATCGTATTTTAAAATATAATTTAAGCACTAAAAATATATTAATTTACATTTTACGAGTAATTTATCATTGCCACAATGCTTCCCAACACCATTATCAAGTTCCAATGTGCCGTTTCTTTGAAAGATGTGAAGAATATCTTCCGTTATTCAAACACATTAAACACCCATTAATTTAAACCAGATTTCATCTAAATAGTATATAATTTTTTGGAAAAAAAATATGACGATTATACCAGCTCACATGAAGAAATTACTACTAAGTGACAAGCAACAGCAAAACAAGTTGCTGGAAAATAGGATCAGAGGAAGCCCTTAGCCCCCATACGTTATCTGCTTTATTTCTTTCCATGTATATCTCTCTGTTCTTATCTGATGCCCTTTTTAAAGGCTGAAACTTTTTGGCATTAGCCCTCACAATCTTTGGGGACTCGCAGCAAGCAATGGCCAGTTGGTTTTTATCAGAATGCGGCTTAAGACCCCTCCCCATAATCAGATTCTATTCAAAACCCAGACCTTCAATTCCTTCAAACACAAACAACAATGGCCTAAAGGTCAGAACTTTACCTGGTTCTTCTCCATTCAAGGTCTCCACTTGGTGTAGAAGAAGGAGCTTTGTGGGTTCTTTGAATGTGAGTGCTCCTTTGGAGGTTGTTGAGACCATTAATGGGGTTGAAGAAGAAGAAGATAATGGGGGATTTGATCCTGCTGCGCCGCCTCCTTTTAACCTGGCCGACATCAGGGCGGCTATACCGAAGCATTGTTGGGTTAAGGATCCATGGAGATCCATGAGTTATGTTTTGAGAGATGTTGTTGTTGTCTTTGGTTTGGCTGCTGTTGCTGCTTATTTCAACAACTGGCTTGTTTGGCCTCTTTATTGGGTTGCTCAGGGAACCATGTTCTGGGCTCTTTTTGTTCTTGGTCATGACTGGTGAACACTTGTTTTGTCTCACCATGGGTGTTGTCCCTGTTTTTGATGTTTTTTTCTTCAATTTGGACATCGATTTATGTGTTTGGTTTTGTTGTTTTTTTCGCTTTTCAGTGGACATGGTAGTTTCTCCAACAACACGGCATTGAACAGTGTTGCTGGTCATCTTCTTCATTCTTCCATCCTTGTCCCATACCATGGATGGTTAGTCATTAGTGCCTTTAATACTCTTAATCCGGTCCCATATGAATGAATCTGATGAAAATTTTGACTATATATATCAATCTGCAGGAGAATCAGCCATAGAACACATCATCAGAATCACGGACATGTCGACAACGACGAGTCGTGGCATCCGGTAACGTCTTCGATCTTCTTCGAGGGAGTTGTATAGGTGTGACTTTCATTTTGTGTGATTATGATTTACTCTTCCTTTTTGCAGTTGTCTGAGAAAATTTACAAGAGTTTGGATAATGCAACTAGATTATTGAGGTTCACCTTGCCTTTTCCCATGCTTGCTTATCCAATCTATCTGGTAAGCATGATTTCATCTGTTGAATTCTTGTTTACGAGCCTGTGATTTGCGTTGATATCGATTCATTTACAGTGGAGTCGAAGTCCCGGGAAAAGTGGTTCACATTTCGATCCGGGGAGTGATTTGTTCGGTCCAAATGAAAGAACAGATATAATCACCTCCACTGCCTGTTGGGCAGCAATGGTTGGTTTGCTTGTGTATTTATCTTCTGCAATGGGGCCAATTCAGTTGCTTAAGCTCTACGGAATTCCATACTGGGTATGTTTCAGTCCCTTCAAGCACATATTTCTTCAAAGTCTTTGTTTTTCTGTATTATATCTCTCGAATTTGGTATAAATTGCAGATATTCGTCATGTGGCTCGACTTGGTAACTTACCTACACCACCACGGCCACGACGAGAAGCTTCCGTGGTACCGAGGAAAGGTTTGGAAACTGTTTAAGCTGCACCATGGAACATCACGTTATTGAAATTCTACTCTGCTATTGAACTGCTCTATGTTTATTAACCAGGAATGGAGTTATTTGAGAGGAGGGCTTACGACGCTCGATCGAGACTACGGATGGCTCAACAACATCCATCACGATATCGGAACTCATGTTATACATCATCTCTTTCCCCAAATCCCACACTATCACTTAATTGAAGCCGTGAGTATATCACCATCTCCTTTTCCTACATCAATCATGTTTCCCCATACTGGAAAAAAATGTTACATGAACTTGAATTGCAGACCGAAGCAGCTAAGCCGGTGCTTGGGAAATACTATTGGGAGCCACAGAAATCTGGGCCTTTCCCGTTTTATTTGCTCGGGATCCTCGTACGAAGCTTGAAAAAGGATCATTATGTGAGTGACACCGGTGATGTTGTGTTCTATCAAACAGACCCTCAACTATATGGAGCTAACAAATCAGATTGAAAGCCCTTAAGTTCTTTTCTAGCCAACTACTAAAAACCCTACAGATTTCTTCCGGCTAGACCGCAATTGCGGATATGTCGACCGTCATTCTTTCTCACCTGGATTGAGAATTAGCCTGTGTATGATGTTGACAATACCAAAATCTGCAATTTTCAGTTGGGAATCTCTCTTACTGTTGCCTATCAGCATTTTATAGATTCTGTGGATGAAATATATAACTATAGCCACATAAAGTGGTCCTGCAAGACAAGAACAAAGTGCAAACATATATGGTGTCAATAAAATGTTGTTCTGATAGTTTCCAACCACATAATGACCATGTGCATTGTCTGAAGGTAGAGTGTTACATGATGTCTGAACATTTTTACAATTTTAACTTGAAAAAATCAAGGGCGAAAACAGAAAACACTAGTTTTTCGGGTACTTGAAGTTCCAGGTACGTACATCAATTACATAGTTAATCAATATGGTGTACAACGGACTGCATTCATGAAAGAAAAGACTAGTATGTGTTCATCGGAAATTCAGTTTTGGAGGTCTCCCTCTTCATTTGCATGAAGAACTTACACAACCATGTGTTCTTGCACCGACTTTGGAAAAGCTGCTTGAGAAAGATCTCCATGAAGCTAAGTAAGATTGAAACAATAGCTTCAACAGATTTATTACTTCACACGAAAGATAATCAGGACTGAACAAGTATATGCACCTGCACAAATTCAATGTCTGGTGCATCAGAAGCTCTTGAAATTGTGTCTAAATCATCATCCACAAAGACTCCAACAGACTCAGCACCATATTGCCTTGCAACTTTTGAGATTTCGCCGGCTTCCGCTTTGATAGTAGCATCTCTAGCCAGTGTAATACTGAACACATTTTGATGAAAGGATGATTTTTTTCACTCCCCTTAGTTGAAGAAAAATCTTAGTTCGATTGTGCAATGTTGCACCTAACTTTATTCTTTGGACACGACCTGGTTCTTAAGGCCAGCAATTTCCCCACATTTCAACTGCTAATACAAAACACTAGTGACAAAAGATGACACTAAACATTCGAAGAATCACCTGAAATCGGAAAACTCAGAAGTTACCGGCGATTTGCCTCGAATGAATGTTTTTTAGGCTGGAATAGACTTCCTGCATCACAATGTACATTAATCATTTAGACAGAAAGGTTCAAACAAATTCCCCTAGACCATAAAGTCTATAACAAAACATGAAAAATGAAGAGTTTTACATAAAAATATTATTACAAATTCATCAAACACAGAAATAATGAGACATTTGTATATGTCCTACAAACATCACAATGTAGATTAGTCATTTAGATAGAGAGGGTCAAACGAATTCCCATAGGCCATAAAGTCTATAACAAAACACGAAAAATGAAGAACTTTTCATCAAATCTATAAATTCATCAAACCCAAAAATGATAAGAGATTTGAATATGTCCTACAAACATCAAAATGTAGATTAGTCATTTAGATGGGGAGGGTCAGACAAATTCCCCTTGAATATAAAGTATACAACAAACCATTAAAAAGTAGGAATTTACATCAAAGTATTACTAATATTTCATTAAACCCAGAAATACAGTAATCTTACAAAGGAGAAAACAGAGAATGGAGGAAAGGTGAAACCTGGATGCACTATCGCTTTCCTTCTGTTTCTGGGAAATTGAAATAAACAAACAAAAATCCTGAAAAGACAAGTTAAGAAGCAGAAATTCAGATGACGATTTTGTGTTTGTAGAAATGCCAAGGTGAAATGTTAAATAATTTTTTTAGTAAACTACATCAGTAATTACTTAATATGGAGCAATTTAAATTTAAGGGTAAAGAACGTAAATAATTTCAGATCATAGGATACTGTTTTATTAAGTCTTTCGTGATTATTTGATTATTAAATATTAATTTATTGAGTTCTTAACTATTAAAAATTATAAAATGATCACCAGACTATTCATTATATTACAAACTCGTCCTTTCCCTTTAAAAAAATTGGCTATTGTTTAAACTGGATGTTAACATGATGAATGTGATAGTTGTTCGAAATTTTGAGATCAAATCTTATCATATCAAAGTCAACAAGTTAACGTTCAGCTCATAATATAGTCAATTTTTAACGGAAAATGTCGAGTTTGGAACATAATGAATAGTCGAGTGACTATTTTATAACTTTTAATAATCGAGGGACTCAACAAAGCAACACTCCATAATCGAATGACCTTTTTATAATTTTTAATAGTCGAAGGACATAATTAAGTTGTATCTTATAGTCGAAGGTCTATTTACGTTCTTTACCCTCAATTTAAATCGTTTAATTTTATCAATCAAACTATTTAATTATTTAAATGATATCATTTATACTATTTTAACATTTGATGAAAGAGTTAATATAAAAATAGTATCATTATATCTTTTACTCTTTAATTATTGTTATTTATATATTCTATCAATTTAATTTAATAAATTTTATCTTTTAAGTATGGGTTTCGAGATCTATAAATCCAAATTCATATTATAAAAATTTTAAATATTCAATTTTGTTATACCTCATTCGAAGTAACACTCTCGTTGTTATACTTCCAACCATCGAGCGTTAAAATTTTATAAGTTCCTCAAAACTTAAAGAATTATAAGACTTTCGGACAATTAACATACTCTTAACGTTATTTCTAACATATCTACGTGATTTGTTAGAATTAAATCTTTTATCTAATTATTATATCTATATGTCTTTCTAGTCTACGGATAACTATCATAACTTTATGCCTCGTATTTATATTAAAGACTAGTAGTATATAATAGGGCATACATTTTATCTCGCTTTCTCTTGAGCTCTTTGTATAAATTTAATTCGTTTGAGTACCTAGATTTTTAACTTTTTCAAAATCATACTTAACGTTTGGTTTATATTTCGTTTTAGTATCTCGTTGTTAAAAATTTAATGGATGATTAGCACGTGTCACTTTTTTATTAATAAATTACACCATTTATCACTCAACTATCTTCTCACTCTTATTGTGGTCACTAAAGTTTGATTTTTTTAATTTAATTACTTAACTTTCAAATTACTCATAATTTAATCACTCTAACTTTCAAATTTATTTTTTTTAATTATATATTAATATAATAATAATAATAAAAATGTCATGTCACAAAAATTATTAATAAAATAAATTAGAGTGGTTGAAATAGGAGTAATTTGCAAGTTGAGTAGTTAAATTGAAAATTTTTAAACTTTAGTATCAAAAGAGGTGTGAGAAGATAGTTGAGAGATGAATGATGTAATTTACCCATAAAATATAGTGTCGTTAAGTTTTTAGCGGCGATGTACTAAAATAAAATAAAAACTAAATGTTAGATATAATTTTTAAAAAATTAAAAATTTAAGTACTAAAATAGATTAAAATTGATAATTTAGATACTAAATACGTAATTTATCCATAAAAAGAAGGATAGTACTAATATTACCTAGTGGGATGGAGAATTAGAACCACACTTTTGGTGAAAAGGAATGACAAATTTGAAAGCATCACGCCTGCCTTTTGCATTGTGACATCAGAGTGGGAATCGCACACCCACCAAACCGACCATCTTCACCTTTGTTTTTTTTGGGTTCATATTGTCAATTGATTACATCAACATACACTTCAACCTCTTGTCCTTTGTGCTCGGAATCTTGTATATATAAAATTATTGATTACTTAAATTTTCGATTCAAGTCAAATTAGATATGAGTTTATATCGATCCGAATAAGATTCATATCAATTTTGGTTTAGTTTGGTTTGTTTCAGGTTTTATATCAAATTCGAGTCATAATGTTCGGGTCTATATTATATCTCATATTTGATGATCGAGTTTGGATCGAGTTTACGAGGTCTAAAGTATAGAACTAAATCTCTAATCTAAGTATAATAAAAGGGTCAAAATCAAATTTTACCCAAAATGAAGAGACTAGTGGGTCATCCAACAATTTGCTAACGTTTGGTTGAGAATTAGTCTCGTGGGCGGCTCTCGACATGGGATCCCCACACCCATTTTCTTATCCTTTTTATTATTATAATTTTTTAATATATATTTGGTGGCTCCATTAATAAAGATCTTATCTCGCTCAACAAATATAAGGTTAAATTATGTATTTAATACATAAATTATTAATTTTGGTTTGTTTTAGTGCTTAAATTTTTTATTTTTCAAAATCATACTTTAATTTTTGTTTTATTTTAGTAACCATGTTCACAATTTAAAGTTAACTTTTGAAAAAATTGAAAATTAAGGTTAGTAGCGGATCCAAAAATTTAAGAATGAGTTCAAAAATTTTAATTTTCTTCTCTTAAAAATAACGGGTATGTAAAAAAAAATTCCTCAACACATTAAGCTAAATTTAATCATTTTTATAAAATAATGGGATGCATTTGGCCCATATGGGAACTTAGTGCATTTGTCCCTGGTTTAGGTACTAGATGTGTTATGATTTTGACGACAGGTACTAAAATAAAACAAAAATCGAACTTTAGGTATGATTTTGAAAAAAATAAAAATTTAGGTACTAAAATTACTAAAATTAATAGTTTAGAAATTAAATATGTAATTTACCCAAAACTTTAATGACAACTCGGTTTGTGGGTGTACAATTATATCATACAATCAACATTGGCGTTTGGTCAGCTTCAAATTTCCCAACTAGATTATGTCTTCTAATTTTCATGATGTCATCTATTAAATATTTTAAGGTTTTATGTATGGATAACATTAAAAAAATATTTAATATATAAGACAGGATAAAAATTTTAAAATAATTTTAAGGTCTCAAGTTCGAGTCATTGTGTATGTATAAAATCTCTACTGAAAGATTCATCCACCAAAGTCAAGAGTACGAACCGAATCGATTCATATTAGTTAGGGCAAAACCTTGAAACTAGAGGTTATAGATTCTATATTCGCTTGGAGCACTCATTTTTCTTCTCTTAGAGTCCCTCCTTCCCCTCCTCTCTCGACAGGGATGAACTGAGGGGTACGGGTAAGAACAATTATCATACCCTAAAATTTTTAAATTTTAAATTATATATTTTAGATTTTTGCTATATATATATTTTTTATTAAAAATATGTTTTCGTCCCCCTAAATTTTTATAAGTTCATGCTCACCCTAACATAAAATTTTATGTCCATTCTTACCTCTAAGATTAGAATTAGATTTATAATTCGTAAACAGAAAGATATTAATGTTTGGTCACTAATTCTATTTTATCCCTTTGATCAGTTTTAGCTCAGTTTCTGCAAAAAAACCAGAATGAACAGCTAAAACAGCAGTAATGTTTGGTCTTTAAAGACAGTTCCTTTGAATGTTGGAAATTTAACACTAGAAAAGCACCAATATACCACAACAATGGAGTTCATATGAAGATACAAACTTAAGTAGGATTACAATGAGTCGTTGATGAAAACACAATGAATTAAGAATATAAAGTAATAAATTAATTTATTTGTTCATCTTTCTCCTAACTCTACCATGAGCACTGAGCTTAAACCTTCTTGCCCATGTCCGATTTACTTGTTCGCCTGATCGTTCTTCTACCGTCGACTATGGCTATCGAGTATCGAATACTTTTACGAATTGAAGGAATAGTTAGAGTAGAGTAAATGAGCACAAGGGGTATCTCTTTCTTATGCTACCATCTGCTCCTGTTCTATGTACATTTGTTCCACCCATGGTGGAAGCCTTTCCCGAACGTTACCGATGTTGTATTGTTGCTGAAGCGATGGACCTCCGGCCGGTGTAACATCTTTCACGAGTGAATTGACCCACGACGCGTCCGGCTCGTCGACATTGGATGGCATCATCGTGTCTTTGGTCGTTGTTGGTGCGGGAGAGTTGTTGCGGAACCCGAATGAAGCTGACTTCCTAAGCTTGTTCAGCTCATCCCCTTGCATACCCCAATCCAGTTTCCCATCAGGGGAGCTCCAGTCGGATATGTTTGAAGACATCATGGTAGTGGAATTCGAAGGAGCGCTGAGTCCGGATCGACAGCGGTCTATGAAGCTCTGGCTCCGTTTTGCGAAAGCAGTAGACCGGGAATTCATTACTGCTGCTGTTGCTGCTACTGCAGCAGACGAGTCGAAACCAAATGGTGAGGGACTCCTGGCTGGAGAGGATGGGAGGTTTGTTGGATAGCTTGCACGAAGTTGGTTTTGGCGGATTTGATGCACATTTCCCTTAAATGGAGACAGCAGGGAAGGATCGAGAGATCCGAATGCGTCGTCGAGATTAGTAGGCTTCAAATCACCAAGCCTATTGTACTCCTTGCTCCAGCAGGATGGGGATGAGAGACTAGAGATATCATCCATCAACTGCTGCTGCTGTAAATGGTTCTTGAGCCCGAGTATCTCCATTTCCAAATCGAAATCTTGAGCACTAAAAGCAGTCTTCAAGCGGCTACCCGGTAGCTGCAATGCAGGCGGGGTGAGGCTCATTTTGTTCTGCCACAAGCCTCCATTCTTCGGAGAGGAAGCGGAAGCCAAAGGCGACATGGGCGGCGTCGAAACGGTAGGCAGAGGCAAGGCTGATGAACCGAGTGCTAGAGGGCTCAAAGTTGTCATATCCACTGAATTAACCGCAGCAGACCTCGGTGAAGGCATTGCCGAGCCGGTGGAAGCGTACACCGGACGCAATTCCTCCGGCTTGTGAGCAAAGAAACAGACTTTACGCGAGCAGCCGATCTCGTCTTTGCAAAGTCTGGTCCGGTATTGAGCAGGATGAAGCCAGGATTCGAACACACCGTGTGCATAATCACAAGCATCACCCTTAGGACATGCCCCCTTACGGAACTCCGGGCACGGCACACAGCTGTAGGGGTACTTCCTCGGGTTTCGCCGCCGAGCATTCTCGCCGGGATGAACGAAGGGACACTCGGTCCAGTCATGGGAGTATGCCCTCGAGCAAGGCTTCACCTTAAAGGTATACATCCTAAAGTCATCAGTTCCATATATCCCATTGTTGATATCAGGCAACGATACATCGACCGGATACTCTTTCTTCTGCGGCGGAACCGTCTTCTCCGACTCGTCTTCCGGGTCAACACCGACACCATCGCCACCGTGCAGCAACAACTCTATCACCTTTCTCCTCGAACCACTCAAAGACTTTAAACCCGCCATGATCAGATCAACAGGTTTGTTCCCATCAGCATCAACGCAATTAGCATCAGCAGAAGCATCGAGCAAGAGCTTGACAATCTCGACGGAAAAACACGCACCACCGGCAACCGCGCAATGAAGGGCGGTAACTCCATCACCACCACAAGCTCCGTTCACATCAACCTTTCCGCTTCCGACGATGAATTTCAACACATCGACGCTGCCGTACATGGCGGCGATTACCAGTGGTGTCCTCTCTTCGAACCCCATCTTTCTCGACCCGATTCTTCTACCGTACCACAAGCTTGCCTCTGCAAGATCCAAACCCTTTTCTTCCACCTCCCTTTTGAACGCCACCAGATCATCCGAGGCGGCTAGTTCGAGCAAGACCGAGTACCTAGCGGCTTTAAGCTCGTCTAATTTACCTTCCATGGTGAAATTTGAAGGAACAAGTTCAGCCTTTGAACCACTGCACATCACAAACAAAGACCTGCATCATGCAACAAAAAAACACTAAGTTTCCCCATTCCATAACAATAATCCAATAACAAGACACAGAGAAAACAGATGGCTAAGGTCATGAATTCATGAAAAACAAAGAGAATCAGATGCAAAGTTCGAGTCTTTTTACCTATTTGAGCAGTCTCTGATGGTTATGGTCAAAACAAAGGGAGAGAAAAGGGGTATATATTGAGGAACTGAACAAGTTGGGGGACCTTTTAAAGTAGAGGGATTTGCTGGTTTAAGGAGGAAGAAGGGAGGAAAGTGTCGCTTTTCTCCCCCTGTGGTCAAAAGTCAAAATTTCAAAGTGAAGTACTTTGAATTCTGGTTAAAAATATATTGGACTATATCAGTGGTGGCTTTTGTTACATGTTTTCTGATTTAAATTTTCATAAATTATATTATTAATTTATCACAAAATATCAATGTGAGGTTAACTCTCGTTAAATTGATGACGTGATAAGTTATAAAAAAAAGTTTAATTTTTAATTTGATTTCTAAACTTTAATTAAAATAAATCATTAATTATCTTTCTTTTTCTTCACATATTTCTTTTACTAAAAACCCTAATCGTCATCATTTTTATGTCATCGTCCAATCGACATTCGGCCTCAATCATCCCATAAAAAAAAATAAAATGATTATTCTCTTCTTCTTCTAGGTTCTTGATCAATTTTCTCAAAAAAAAAACTTGTTGAAATTTTTATAATTTATATAAATATTTAGAATTTTCTAAGACTTAATTTTCTAAGAAATTCAATGGTTTTTAATTAAACTTTTTGTTTTGATTTTAAGATGTTGGAAGTCATTTTATGAAAATATATACTGAATGAATAGCATAGGAGAAAAATTACTTCGGTTTAGTGTTGATTATTAATCAAGTGACCAAAATATAAGTTCTAAAACTTATATGGTCTAAATCAGAAAATATAAAATAAAAGTGAGAGCCAATATAGTTTACCTAAAAATCAACAAATCAAAGAAGATGAAATGGAAATTGCAAGAAATGTTTGATTTTTTTTTTGGGAGTTCCAACTGGCTGGCCATCACGTGTGAGCCAGAGATTGGCCAAGTGGGGATTGATTCACTGATTCCAACCTGTAACAGACTCAGTAAGGGCCGAGTTGAGCTGAGCTGAGCTGCCCCTTCGGTTTTAACGCGTTTCCTCTTTCGTTTTACGTAGGTCTCACACGCCAGGACAAAATACGCTTGACTCACCATTCCACTTACTCCTCTCTTTGCTTTGGCATATTCACCCTTTTCTTAAAGGCATAATATTAAAAAGGGTAAATTACGTGTTTAGTACACAAATGATCAATTTTGGTATCTTTTAGTGCCTAAATTATCAATTTTTTAAAAAACACCTAAAGTTTAATTTGTATTTCATTTTAGTACCCATTTTCAAAATTCAACGTTAAATTTTGAAAAATTGAAAGTTTAGGTACTAAAACGGACCAAAATTGATAGTTTATGTACTAAACGCGTTAAGTTTTTAACGGCGTAATACTAAAATGAAACAAACACTAAACGCTAGGTATAATTTAAAAAAATTGAAAGTTTAAATATTAAAATTGACTAAACCGATAATTTATGTACTAAATGTGTAGTTTACCCTATTAAAAAAACCCCTAACATTAATAAAATAGTCATTTTGATATTTTAAAGTGTTTTAAACTTTAATGTTTTATTTTTGAAAAAATAATTATGGTTGAATAAAAATTGTTAATTGACTAACGAAATCGTTTATCTTTTGTACGGTAAATCATATGTATATAAAATAATGACGTGACATATTACATATATATAAGTGATGGCATGACATATATCATGTGTAGATAAATGATTACGTGATACATATCACGTCATCATTTCAAACACATATGATTTGGCATGTCAACAACAAGCTATGATCATTAGTTAATTAATATATTTCAATTAATAATGAAATATTTTACCTTATTTATGGTTGAAGTGTCTCAAAAAAGAATCCAGATCAAAGTTATTATTATTTTTCAAATATTAGGAGTGAATTCCGGTAGTATGTATTTTTTTCAAATAGGACAAAATCATATTCTTTATTAGTCCTTGAATTTAGAAACTTTTTCAACTATGTCCTTAAAATTTTCTTCAACAAAATTAAAAAGGCATATCCAATTCCTTGACCCAAGATGACCATGATTGAAATTCATGCTGCTACTTGTGAATCAAGCTTGGAGGCTTGTTTGACTGGTGCACACTATGCGTTTGATTAAATTTCCATGAAAGTTCAACCTTTTATGGATTTTGTTTTGGATCATCACATTCATGGACTACTATTAGGAATGGTAAACGGGCGGGTAGGGTGCGGATACCTCATCCCCATCCCCATATCTACATAATATTTTTAAATCCGTCACCGCCCACCACCCATAATAGATAAAATTTTTTAAATCCACACCCGCCCACGAGGGTAAATTCTCAAATCTATCATCACACCCACTACCTAACTGTAGACGTACCCGGCTAGACCCGTCTGACAGCAACCTTAAGTTATACATAAGCAACAAACATAAAACAAACACGTCTATTAAGAAACATAATAAAATAAACCAATGATTATCTGAGTTAAGTGTTAACATAAATCTTAAAGTACATAAAACACCATAATAAAAGACATAATTAAAGCCTAGAAACATAAATGACAAACAAATAATATTTTTGTTCTTTTGCACACATAAATGACAAACCCTAAAATTGTACCTAAATTCATAATGATCCAAAATTTAATGGGTATTTAGTGGGCAGGCGGATGCGAGACGGGTAAGGTCTCAAACCCATCACCCGCCCACTACCCGCGACGGGTATTACTTTCTAAATCCACACCCGCCTACTACCCACTAAAATTATATTCATTCCCTCCCCAATTAAAACGGATACGATGCAAAATCTACGAAATTTTCCCATCAACATATCCACATTTAAAAACCGTGTGATCCAATTAACCAAAATTCAAGCTTGACACAATATAATTTAATCCTGATAACCCAAATTATAAATTATTAATATTTAAAATAATCTGAATCTAAAATATCTAAATCCAAGCTTTCACCTTTTATGTCTAGACCCAAAACCACTTAAATTCAATTACTTTTTATGGAACTTCAGTCTAATTATGAATTTCATCTTTTACTTTATCAAAATTTAGAAATTAATCCCTCAACCTTATTTTTTTTCAAACTCCGATCCCATTCTTCACCGAAAATAGGAAGTTAGTCCAATTAGGTGTTGGGTATATAATTTATAGCCATCAACACTGGTTTCAGGTTGTCTTGCTCTGCTGGACCACCAACATCTGTATAATTATATAAGTTCAAGTTTACCTCTTTGACTTAAAATCATACGTCGGTCTCTAGGTACTATCACCATTAGCCAAACCCCATCAACAACTTCCCATTCGAGCCTCTTCGAATCGAATCGAACCTCATCCCGTTAGACTAACGAATTCAAACGTTGTCACCATTAATTCATCATTATCTTCGTGTAATAATGATAGTAAAATTTATATTAATGAGCGAATTTATAATATTTTAGGGATCAAATATATTAGAGAATAAAATATATTATCATTACCGAACCCAGGTTCCAAGCCCCAACACAGCAGTGGGCTGGCTCATTTTGTGTGACCTGCTTTGTTTTGATGCTGAGCTCAACCAGTGGGCCTTTTTAATATACTTATTGGGTAATTAATTTTACTCATTTGTTTTTTTTATTATTTATGGTTTAATTACTTTTATTGCTTTTTTTATTTCAGAATGTCCAATTTAGTCCTTGATTAGCATGAATTAATTCTTATTTGAGCCCTTTACTTTTTTTTGCAATTGAGTCCTAACTTGATAGTCCAATTAACATTAGCCCCTAGACTTTCAATATTTCCCAATTTAGCATGCAAGCATGTTCTTTTTTCTGATCTCTTATTTGTATTTATTATAAATATCATTATTTGAGAATATTACTAACCCTTTCTTTACGGGAATTTTTTTATTAGTCTAGGGTAAGTACAAGACATTATCTGGTTAAAGATAACTCTCAACCATTTGACAATGAATGCTCACACTTCTAACATTCCTGGTGCTCAAACTCGGGACCTCAAAGAATAACAACGATTTGTTTACAACTGAGGTCGCTTGGTTCATACTCTTTACATGTAAGTCATTCTTTGTAAAACAAGATCTCATATGATACTTATTTTTTGGACATAAAAGGGGTGCTCTAATTTTCTTTACGCATACTTTTCGAACCTTAATTTTTATTTGGTTTAAACATAGACCTCTAAAATTATTTTTTTTAAAGAGAAGCTTCCAAATGAACTTTTTTTAAAAGAGTGATTTTATGGGTATTCGATCGTACTCAACCTCAATTGATAGATAAGAACTCAAATTTTTAGTCCCTCTTAAGTAATAAAAGTTTAATATAAACCTTAGTCCCTCTCTACTATTAAATATATTGATTTGGTCCCCTTATTATAATGATTGGTCCCTCTATTATAGGGACTAAGCTAGGGGAGGCAGGACCCTTGACATCCTTGGTTAAAAGGGCTAACTTTGATTTAGTCCCTCTTAAGTATTAAAAGTTTAATATAAACCTTTTAGTCCAAGGATTAAATTAATATTTCTCATTTTAACCCAACAATATAATCTAAGTCCTTTCAAATTAATTTTTTGAACTTTAGTCCCTCTAAAATTTTAATACCCTTTAGAAAAATTCCAAAAATTGTGACAATTTCCCCACGTGCTTAGACGTATTCAACTAGATTTCCTTTTTATTTTCTTTCTTCTCAACTTGATTAAAAAATAGATTACTTTTGTCGTACCAAATTCAAAGCCAATGTGTGTTTACATTTTATTCTCAGCAATAATTAACAAATAAAACAAAATTATAGTAATTGTCAAACGTTGTCGACATTGATAACTAGAAATCGAAATCAAAAGTTTGTCTAAATTGTTTAATTAATCTAAGGTAAGTATAAAACAATATCTGTTTATAGATAACTTTCAACATCAAACGCTCACAACTCTAACATTTCTGATGTTCGAACTTGGAACTTCAAAGAGTAACAATAATTTCTTTACCACTGAGTCTCTATTCATTATCATCTCTAATATTGATTTGTTGTCCCTTTGTCCAAATTCTTGAGCTCAACATATACACACACATATATATATAAGGCAAATTATGCATTTAGTATCT